CCCTAAACCCTAAACCCTAAACCCTAAACCCTAAACCCTAAACCCTAAACCCTAAACCCTAAGCCCTAAACCCTAAACCCTAGACCCTAAACCTTAAACCCTAAACCCTAAACCCTAATTCCTAAACCCTAAACCCTAGTATGTGTATCAGTATCTGTCTGTTAGCCGCTCATGGCCACTTAACTTAGAGAGCGATGATCAGCACTCTATGTGTAAGATCTCCTTCTGGCAGCAGAGAGTCAGCACATCAGCATACAAAAGCACACCAAACCGAAGCGAACATCGCATATTTCTCTCTTTCTCCTTCCCGCCCACACAGACATAGAAACAGTATGTGTCGCACAGACACACGCACAGCGTCCATTGCGCATTCAGCAGTAAACGAAGAAAATGAAGAAGGTGAGCGTCGACACACAATACAACCAAGAGAGAGACACAGAGAATCCATCTGTAGCCCAATCATCAGGTCAACAGACAATCTACATACACACACCTCCCTGAGCCCCAGTACGACAGTTACTTCGTAAATAGCTAGTCCCTTCGCCATTCTCCCACTTTCGCCCTGAGCTTTGAACGAACGCCCGTTCGCCCATACACTTGATGTCCTAAATGATACAAACACACACTCACACACACAAGGTAACTCGTTGTGTGTTCGTTACCTCCGTTGTTCCTTCCTCTCTCACCATTTCCTTGCCGTTGCTTGATAGTGGTATTGGCTTGTCTCTTGCAAGCAGGGCATTGGGGCGCTGAAACGAAATACATCCACATCGCTAAGTGAACCTGAAGGAACGACACACACGATCGACTGACACACAAAGAATGCACGCGTGTGTGGATGCCTGTAGAGTACGTTGCAGTTAGGATTGAGGAGCTGCTTGTGAGCAAACTGATGTCGACACAGCTGATGAACACACCAACCATACCAACAGCCACACCCACATCCATCCATCCATCTGTCCGTCCGTCCATCCGTCTGCCTGTCATGTGCAGACATACCTCGCACACTTTGCTGCCGTCATTGATGTGTCGTCATTGATGTGTCGGGTTTGCTTTGACACATGACGACGATAATGCCGGTGAGGACAATGCCCACCCCCATGAGTACTGCACACGCGTGCGAATCAATGGGGTGTGTGTCTGTCATTTGTGTGCGGGCTCATATGTAAACACTTATACATGGCGTGCTTGACTGAATGAATGGTAGCCAGACGGATACGCCGACAAAGGAGAGAGGCTGATCGTACAGACATCCTTCAGCTTTCGATGCTTTGTGTCTCAACAAGTCCAGCAAACGCATTCATGCACGAGACATGCAGATCAAGTAGTCCACCCCACGCCAAACACACATGAGAGCACCCCCCTCCATCCCTCTGCACCATTCTACAGCCAACACACGAAGCCGACCTGACTGGCAAACATGCAGCCCAGCACACATCACCGGCAGTCAAGAAGGAAGCGCATAATAGTCAGACCGAACCTGCAGTCGTCTCTTAGGTGTCAAGCCGTTTGAGAGTAAGGAAATCTCTCTGATTTCCCCGCCAGCTGATGTCATACCGTCCCTCCAGCCCATCGATGGCGTTGCCATTGGTTCGCTCGTCCACCAATCGCTTGAAGGCATCGGACGGCTCTGACCGAAAGTCGAGCCCTTTGAGGCCTCGGAACTTGAGCAGCGTTTTGACACACGTAATGCCGAACTCGCCAGCAGCATCGCCATCGCCCAAGTCCTCAGGCGCTGCACACGGACAGCATACATGGCATGGTTGGTATGCGAATGCAGGCGGTTAATTGTTTGTCACCTTCTATGGTAGTAAAGAGCCGTTCGATGGCCGGCAGCTGGTCGGTCATGTCTCCCCACGTAACCCCCCCCACGCCCACACCCTTGACCCAAGTGGCATGAAAATACTCCAGCTCTCTCTCCCCGCCCACCGTCTGCAGGACATTCACCGCTTGCTCCTCTGTCGGGTGCGTCAGCTCAATCCGTCTGACCGCCGGCATCTTGCTTAGCAGCCTGCGCGCAATCACGTGCCCCTTGCAGGTATGCACGGACAGTGACGAAGCGGCGGGGAATGCGTTGTTGGCCATGCTATCGATCATAACTGGGTCCGGCTGCTCAGCGTCAGCGTCAGGTCCCCAGTCGTGCGACTTTGTGATCACCACATCCCGCACCTCAGGGAATGTCAGGCACTCTGCGAGGGCGATGGCAGCGGTGCTGGGTGTGTCCAGAGGGGTGGTGAGATGGCGGGGACGGAGGCTGAAGGACGCCCTGAGGGATTTGGCGGCCAGCTGCTGGATGTGCTTCTGCACGAAGAATGAGGGGGCGGGGCGGGTGGGGACTTCACACACGAGCGACAGGTTGAAGCGGCCGTTGACTTTGATGTCGACAGGGATACCGGGGCTCACACACACGGTGCGTGTGAAGGTGTCGATGGCCGAGAGGGTCTTGAACATATTGCCGTCGATCTCTGCTTCCCCCAAGTCGACGCTTAGCTCCTTGATGGCGCGGCAGCCACGGTCGACAAGCACGGCCTGCACAAGGACACACGCATCTCGCAAGCGAGCTCTCGCTCTGATCTTGTGTATCTTGTCGTCGCACACCTGAAGGCGCTCCAGACCCGCAGCTCTCCAGGTAAACACTTTGAGGGTTCCAATGTCCTCCAGCTGCGACAGCGGCCCCGACTTGCCATCAGCTGTCACAGGGATGCACCTCAGCGAGTCCGCCATGACGTCAGGAGTGCATTCCACCTGCAGCTGCTTCAGGCACCGTGACGTAGCCACCACCTCCCCCAGCATCTGCGCCCCCACCGGCCCCTCAATCTGCACCCTCTCGAGTGACGGCAGCTGCCAGTGGCGGCCGCGGCCGGGACAGAGGGTGGGGATGCCTGTGATGGATGTGATGGATGTGAGGGTGAGGGCGGGGTCGAGGGGAAGGGTCGCACACTGCTCTCTCTCAGCTCGGATGTAGCGATACTCGTCTTCGCTGATGGTCACTGTCTTGCCCTCGCTGTAGTGGAGCTGCCCGATTGTGGGACGTGACGGTTGCCCCTCGCTGTGCCCCTCCACCAAAGCCGTGACGGCCTTGTCGCTCATCTGGGGCAGAGTTCGGCTGTCACAACCGTATGGCCGCCCAGCAGGAGTGGACCTTTGAATGAAGAGGCCTCTGGGGTACTCCACGATAATGGACTCGAGCCGTGTGAGCTGCCGGCCCCACTCGAAGGCATCGCTGAAGGACAGGCCGCACCAGAAGCGCCGCTCGGCCGTGTCGTAGGCGCCCACGACCAGCTGGGTGATCTGGCAGCCGACGTGGCGCCAAAGCCTTCGGGGCAGCGCCGCCACCAAATGAAGCGATAGGAACGAGAAGACGTAGGCAACGACCACAGGCTGAGTGGACAGCACACACCACACAGAGAGAGGAGACAATGAGATCCGTGTGTTTGCCAGTGGTTTGGTGGCTGCATCTGGCAAAGTTCCCTCCCTCTATCCCAGTCTGTCTCCCTTCATCCCCCCCCGCCTCCCTTCCCATTGTCATACGATTTGGCTGAAGCGCTGTGCAAAGGCCTCTAAGTCTATGCTGTGCGATGCCGCGGCGTTCTTGTGTCCCTCTTCCAAGTCATCCTTCTCTCCCTCCGCGGGACGCCTCTGCCGCTTTGACACCTCACTCATCAGCAACACACGGCCAGCAACCACCTCTTGCGCAGCCAAGACCACCTCGTGTACCGGGTTCAAAACGGTTGAACCCTGAAACCCGAACCCTGCAGATCTAAAGCGCAAGTGTATGTGCAGGCGGCATATCACGTGTCGCTGTCACTCACAGCCACACTCGGACACTCGGCGGGTGGGTGAGAGATCACTGGCAGCATATCACATCAGACACCTGCGTGCATACACGGCAGGCCCCTCTAGTGGCCGTCCGCAGCGACTAGACTGCAAGGTGCATCATCCAACCACAGCACATGCCAAGCCAGGGAACACGTGTTCGAGATCGCTTTCTGTGGCTGACTGTCTGTCTGTCAGGCGAGGCGTTGGACAGGGGAAGTCAGCACGTCTACTAGATCTGCCTGCGATGGAGGGTCCCAACAGCTGGTGCACGATTGAGAGCGACCCTGGTGTGTTCACGGAGCTGGTGCAGAAGATAGGCGTCAAGGACCTGCAGTTTGAGGAGGTCTACAGCCTCGACGACACAGCATTCACCGACCTCTCACTCAGCCAAGTCTAGTGAGTGCAGAACAGCTGATCAATGAGTCAGTCGCACCAACTCATTAATGAATGCCCTTTGTGTGGTCCGTTGGTGTCGTTTCGACAGCGGCCTCATCTTCCTGTTCAAGTGGCGGCAGGAGAGAGACCCACGACCAGTTGTCAACTTCCCCGACAGGGACCTCTTCTGTGAGCTCACTTAAAATCAGTCAGATACATGGGCTGGCTGATACACGAGTTGTGTTTGCTTGAGCTTTATCTATTTACAGTCGCCAAGCAGGAGGTCACCAACGCATGCGCCACCCAGGCCATCCTATCGGTCCTCCTCAACCGGCCGGAGATCGACGTCGGCACTGAACTCACTGAGTTCAAACACTTCACCAAAGGTCACCACACACGACCAGAGCCATCTCACCTGCGATGTGTGTGTGTCTGGGTGTGTGTGTGTGTGGGTATGGGCAGACTTCGATGCGCAGACAAAGGGTCTGGCCATCGGGAACAGCGAGGTGTTGCGTCGCGAGCACAATTCGTTCCACAAGGTGTCGTCGTTCGAGTTCGTGCAGGACAAAGACGACGAGAAGGAGGACGCATTCCACTTCATCTCATACGTACCCTTCAAGGGCAAAATCTACGAACTCGACGGACTCAAACCCGTCAGACACACACAGACCAGACCAGACGAGACGAGACGAGGAGAGAGCGAGGGAGGGAGGGAGGGAGGGAGGGAGGCTGCATGTGTGTGTGTGTGTGTGTGTGTGTGTTTCAGGGCCCGATAGAGGTTGGCGAGGGCACAGAGGATGACTGGCTGGAGAAGGTCAGGCCCGAGATACAGCGCCGGATCGATAAGTGAGCACAGCACCAACCAACGCATCGCAAACCGCATGTGGGGTGTGTTGTGGGGTGTTGTGTTGTGTTGTGTTGTGGTGTGTTGTGTAGGTATCAGAGTTCGCCTCGTGCGGGTGAGGGTGATGAGGGCGAGATCCGCTTCAACCTCCTGGCCATCGTGGGCGACCGCAAGAAGGAGGCACTCAAGGCCATCGACAAGCAGCGGTCAGTGAGAGGGAGAAGGAGGAGCGCATCCACACATGGATGTCTTGGTGTGTGTGGTTCTTGTGCTCATGGATTAATCAGTGTGATTCGTCAGCGTGTGCGGGTCAAGCTGATATCGTTCGACCAGGAAGTGGACCTCGACGACGAAGTGAGCCCACACACGCACACACGCGCTCCTTTCCCATACATACACCTACAGCACATGCATCGCATCTCTTGGTTTGTGTGGCGTGGTGCCGTGTGGTGCACTCACTCCCTGCAGGTGGATGAGGACTCCGCCCCCCCCGGCTGCCCGACCATCGAGGATCTGCCCACAGACATCGAGGCACTCAAACAGGCGAGCGAGTGGCTCAAGGCACATATACACACGGCGCGGCCGTGGATTGATGGAGGTGTGTGTGTTGTGTGTGTGGCCACGCATTTGATTAGGCTGAAAAGTCGTGCACGTCAGAGATAGAGCGGCTGCAGGCCGTCGTGGCCGACGAGGAACAGAAATTCAAGGTCGTTCAACACCCACACACACGTGCACCCATGTCAGTCAGTGCCTTTCTGCATGTGTGAGTGAGTGCAGAAGTGGGAGCGTGAGAATGCGCGGCGCCGCCACGACTTCGTCCCATTCGTCCTGTGCGCTCTCAGGTACACACACACCACACACATGAGTGGATGAATGGATAGATGGATGGATGGATGGATGGATGGATGGAGGCAGACAAGCCCACTCACCTTCTGTGTGTGTGTGTGTGTGTGTGTGTGTAGGCACCTGGCCCGCAAGAACATGTTGCGTGATGCGTTTGCCAAGGTAGCAAAAGGGCAAAACAACAAGCACACAAGCAAAAAGGTCAACTCGTTGTTGCCCTTGACTCTTGTTTGCCAAGGGCAAGGAGGCGTTCAAAGAGCAGCGCGAGAGGGCCAAGAAGCAAAAGACCGACAAGGACCACACCATGAAGGACGCCGCTGAGACTGCCGCAAAGGAATGAATCAATTGATTGACCATGCGTGACGCAAATAAATGAGACGAACAGGTGTGTGTTGCCCCGTCCCCTATTCTGTGCTGTGCTGTGCTGCGTGCTGCCGGTGTGGGTTATCCGCTCCACTGCACGTCCCTGTCTGTCCCATGCACTGCACGGCGGCGACGAGAGCTGCGTATCCATCAGCCTTCTCACGGCCGTCCGTCCGTACTAACATGTCGGCAGTGCAGATGAGTGACGTATGTATGTATGTATGGTGGGCAGATAGACACACAAGCGGACGGACGGCCAGTCTGTTTGTTTTGTGTATGGATGCATTGAACCTCTCTCAACTTGCATTAACCCTAACACTCGTCTGTGTGTCCGTGATACTCAGAGTCCCACGGTGCAGAGTCATATATTATATACATATGGATGCATCCATGGCCCGTCTGTCTACATGAATGAGCACCTCATTGCCCGGCCAGTCAGTCAGCAGACAATGAATTGCGATGAATGAATGGATTTCGCCTGCTGCAGCTGCATGCATTGTGACTGTGATTGCTGTCTGTGGATCCGTATGCACTATCACGAGGATGAAATCAACGCAGGGCAGATCTGGAGACGGGAAGCTCAAAGCTCGCAGCTCGCAGAAGGAGAAGATTTCAGGGAGGGAAGACCATCAACGGCATGTTGGTTGTGATCGCATCCCCTTGTCCACCACCCTTGCTCTCTCATCGTTCCGAAAATCAATCGTCTGATTGAGCCTCACTGACCCGCCCACCTCCGTGCCAGGCCCTCCCTCCCTCTGTCCCCTCTATCTAGTATCCATTGTCGAGTCGATTGACACATCCAATCCATCCATCCTTCCCTCTCTCTGTCATCATCCCATCACCATGGCGTCAGTGGCCCCCATGCCCCACATCATGGCGGCGGTGAGATGACAGGGAGGGGTATTGTGTATCTATCGGTTTGTGTGTGTGTGTGTGCGTGTGTGTGTTTGATTTCTACCCACTCGTGCAGTCGCCCGACGAGCCAGAGCCCTACTACGTCCACCCCATCCCGCAGCGGCTCAAGTCAACAATCAACTATGTGAGCCAACCACACAAGACAAGGACACAAGAGAGAAGAATCATCAGTCACAACGCCTCCCTCTTTTGTGTCCGTCTTTCTGTTGTCTCTCTCCTTTGATCCGTTTGCTGGGTGCCTGCCCTGCGTTGCGTTGCCTTGATGCAGATGGACTACAGGCGGCTGAGGCGTCAGTACCACGGCGTGAGGCAGCGGGCGCAGAACAAGCGAACCTTCATTGTGGTGGTCTTCTGCCTCATTCTGACCGGCTTCATCCACCTGGGGTACTTCGACGCCCCCCCCGAGAAGTCCTTCCCGGACAGCGGTGAGAAGCAGGATGGCAAGATCTGGGCGGGCGTCTACATCCGCATAGGGCAGACGCCCAGGGAGATCATCAGGGACGTCGTCCTTCTCCTCTTCGTTATCAAACTCCTCCTCATGTTCGCACGGTAGGGACGGTCAGCTCAGCTCAGCTCCCCAGTCAGTGAAGTGAGCCAAACGTCACATCTTGTGTGTGCCATGGGTGTGTGCGTCTGTGTGCCTGTCCTGCCATGGGTTCTGTTGACCTGGTCAGTATCCAGACATCCCTGTCGCTCCGTTGGTCGATGTGGTTCTCTTACGCGTGGATCATACTGTGCGTTGGCGTCTACCTGTTGTGGAACCCTGAGGAGGACCCTACGACCGAGGAGCCTAAGCCCGGGTGGTCCGAGAGGGAGGGGCTTTACCTTTTCATCGTCTACCTCATGGCGCAGCTGGTGATTATCGTCCTCACACAACTCATCATTAGATACGCCCCAAGAATCGCCTCACAAGGTGGGGGTAAAATTGGTGGCTGTCTGGTGGCACGCGTCTGCAGTGAGTGACACATCTCTCTCTCTCTCTCTCTCTGTGTGTGTGTGTGTGTGTGTGTGTGTGATGTGATGTGCTGTGCTGTAGGGTTTTGGTGTCCGTGTGGCGAGTCGTTGTGGCTGATCCGTCGGCGGCAAAACTACTTTGCGTACGACCGTGCGAGCGACTGCTGGTGCGGCAACAACCCCTGCTGCTTCATCACCTGGTGCCTCAGGTCCATCTACAGGTGCTCAGCTGACCCAGGTGAGTAGCTACCCACCCGACCCAGACAGACAGACGCACAGAAACAAACCGCAGCGATCGCATCGCATCTCTGTCTGTATTTGTCCTACCGTCCGTGTGTTGTGTTTGTGTAGGTGTGCGTCGCAGCCACCAGCCATTCTCGCATCAGCTGCGATACAAGGGCGGGCTGGATGATGAGGGCCGCCCAGACGGATATGGCGAGTGGCTCGAAGACACTGAAACCGGCGAACGGCTGCAGGTAGGGTGGGCTCACCTCCACTCACCCCTTCCCTCCCTCCCCCTCTCTAAAGGACCCCCATCCCACTTCTGAATGGGGGGATGCTTCTGGTGTCCGTGTGTATCAGGGTTACTGGTGTCACGGCTTCCCCATCGGCCCGTTTGTGTCGCAGGAGGTGGGCACATACACACCGCATCCGCACTCGTGTGCACTCCCTTACTGAAAGGTCCATTCAAACTCTCTGCCGCCCAGGTCGGTACAGGCAGCATCTTCGTGACTTGCCGCATCGCTTACGCCTCTTGTCGCAACCCAAAGAAGCCAAATATGGTCGAGTGGGGCGTCGCGTCCGTCGAGTGCTCAGTGTCCGGCAGCTTCTTCCAGGACTTCCCACTTGTCAGATACTTCGACCCCACGGTCAGACAGATTGATGAAATGACGGCCTCTGTGTCTGTGTGTGCGGTGCGGCGATGGATGGCCATAGATTGGATGTATGCATGTCTGCAGGTGGACATGCGTCAGCCGCTGAGGGCGCCGCGGCCCTATCGTCCGGCGGTTGAGGCCGTCCTGCACAAGACGCCCAAGCGCTCACAGGCCGGCACACTCAGGTGGTGCCTCAGAATGCTCAAAGAATCGGTCGGTACACATACACACCCCTGCCCCCACACACACACACCGACGTGTCTCTTTGTTGTGCCTGTCTGTCTCTTGTGCGACCAGGTGGATGTGCCAGCGGGTGTCGAGGATGTCGTTCCCTCCAAGTCCATCATCATAGCCGTCGATCGCAAGACGTCCGAGCTGCGGGTCACCACCCAGCCAGAGGGGCGGCTGGGTGTCCGGCCGTCCATATCGCTGCCCATCGGGGGCGGCGGCACATCGCCCGCTGGTGTGCGAAAGTCGATTCTCACCGGCATCCCCCCCACTATCGGCGAAGAAGACCAAAGCAACGCCGGTCGGTCAGCCCACCAACCACGCGTATCTTACTGACTCACTGACTGACTGCTGACATGGGTCGGGTCGCTGGAGAGATCTGTGTCTCTGTCTGTTTGTGACTGTCTGTCTGTCTGTCTGTTTGTGCTGTGCTGTGCAGGTTTGTCTGATGTGTTTTCGATCCGTGTGCGGCCCGACGGCCGGCTGGAGGTCAACGAAGGCCCTGTAGCGCCCCGGTACAAGACCCCCTCGTCCCACCCGTCCTCCTCGCCTGAGTCGTTTGTCCGCCACCCCCCCGAGCACGCCCGCACGTCCGTCTCCACGGCAGCACACCGAGCCCCTGCACACGACATGAGCCCAAGGAGCAAGCAGCGCGCGCGGACCTTCGCTGCCGGCATGACCGATGAGGCCGGAATGCTCCCCCCTCTCTCATCTGACATGCTTGTCCCCGCCCACCCAAAGCTAGAGGAGCAGCAACGCGCTGAAGCAGAGAGGGAGAGGGAGAGGGAGACGAGGGTGGAGATCGAGAGGTCCCCGCGTGTGCACGAGGAGCTCATGCAGCACGCCGACGGCGAGGAGTCCGTCTCGGTGCTTGACGACCACAGTGACCTTTTTGAGGGCGAGCCGCCCTTCGGCCAAATCGAGTTGCTGAGGGAGGACATCGATATGCCGGGCGCGGAGGGCGGGGGCGGGGGCGGCAGGGGCGTGGGCGACTCGCACCGGTCGGTCGACCAGTCGCAGCGCACCCTCGGGTCACTCCCACGGTCGCTGTTCGGCGGGGACTCGAAGGAAGTGGTCATCTTTATTCACGGCTTCAACACGCAGCACGCACAGGTCAGTCAGCGAGGGGAGGGAGAGGGTCACACACACGACACGAGAGAGAGACCACGGTGGGACGAATGAAGGAAGGAAAAGAATGGTGTGTGTGTGTAGGGTCTGGGTCAGATGGCGCAGCTGGTGGCGTTTGCCAAGCTGCCGTCTCGCCTGCGGCCGTTTGTCTTCACGTGGCCTGGGGACATCAGCGGCCCCTTCTCGCCCCTCATGTACCCCCTGGCGCGCAACCAGGCCCACTCGCGCGACATCCGGGAGGCATTCACAAGATGCATCAAGGCATTTAAGTCTGAGGGTAAGTGCGGCGTGCGGTGGCTGACATGACAAGGGGAGATGACTGCATTGCATATGTATGTGGTGGTGTGGTGTGATGTGTAGGTGTGCGCCGCGTGCACATCATGTCGCATTCCGCTGGCGCCCGGACCTTCTTCAACGGAATGAGAGGATGCTACGAAGAAAAGTGAGGACTAATGACCCACCGCACCGCCCCACACACATGCACTGCACACAGACCGGCAAACGACACTCACTCACTGACTCACTATGTCCCTCCTCTCTCCTCTCCCCCTCAATGGTATCTCTCTCTCCCCCACCCCACAGCCTGTTCCTGCCCTCCGAGCGTCCCCGCCGACGTCGTCCTCGCGGCGAGAGAATGGGCCTGCACGGCATGGCCATGACGTCCTCCTCCCCCAACCGCAGCCACCGCAGCACCCCCGACCACTCCAACGCATGTCCCTCCCCCGCCCGCATGAATGGGGTTAACAACGGCGAGGGCATCCCCGAGGAGAGCGACACTGAGGACAACGACGACGATGAGGGCGAGGGAGAGGGTGAAAATGAGGATAAAGGCGGCCTGCAGGTGGCGACTGTGCTGCTGCTGAACCCCGATTACCCACTTGACGTGTTTTTGCAAGAGGTGAGTGGCTGGGGTGGGTGGCTGGGGAGATGGATCGATGGATGGACATGGAGAGAGAGGGATGTGTGTGGTGGGTATGGCTGGCAGGAGTATGAGGATCTGCGGGACGTCTGTTCGCACATCACTCTCTACGGCGACACAAAGGACCAGGTAAGGTACCTACCTGCACCACGACACTCGCAGACTCACACGCTTCATCACTCCCCCCTCCCCTCCCCTGTGCTGTGCTGTGTGTCAGGCTCTCGGTTTTTCGGAGGTCTTCAACCGGCAGCGCAGTCTCGGCAAGCGCATCTTCGACCTCAGGCGGCCCCTGGGCTCATACCAAGTCCCCCCCACACCATCGCCCCGCAGACTGCGGATCTCCCAGACCCTCGCCACGGCCATCGAGAACCCCGGCCGTCTGCTGCGTGGCGACGATCTGCCTCTCGGGTTCGCCTCGTCCATCCCGCCCCCCCTCTCGCCACACATCGACAGGGATGGCGACACGCCCCCAGAGAAGACCATGACACAGAAGGAGAGGGACAGGTCGCGACGGCCGCCTGCGACTGCGTCTGAGGACCCCAGCACGCCTGTGGGTGTGCGGCAGGTGGTGGCACAGATCCAATCGGATGACGTCACTTCGGGGGCCATCCAGTCGCCCTTGTTGGCGCACACACTCACTGCCCCTGCCGCCTCCGGCCCACTACGAGACAAGGAGAGGGACAGGGAGAGGGAGGGTGTGGGCAACAGGCAGAGCGAGGCTGACACGGTCAAGCCGTCGACCACCAGCGGCTCCCGCACACCAATGGACGCCACGGGCGGCACCTCCCCTCCACCAGACAGCAGGGCCGCCCTCCTGCACGCCGTCGACAGCTATGCATCTGGCACGGCGGAGTCGTTCCACGTGCGGCCGAAGGGCCTGGTGGCCGAGGGGCGGACAGTGAGGGCAGCAGGCGACACAGCCGAGGGTGCAGTAGCGGCAGCCGCGGCAGTGGTGACTAGCACGGACGAGACCACGATTGTGATAGAGGGGGTGGACGAAGGAGATGACGCCACGACAGAGGAGAGGGGGGAGAGGCCACCGACAGAGGAGAGGCAGGTGCGTGTGATTGAGAGCCGCCGCGGTCAGCAGGGCAGCCGCGACTCGCGTGTGAGCAGTGTGGACAGCGCTGAGGCGGTGGGCCGTGAGAGCGTCAACGTGTGGCTAGACATCGACGTCGTCGACACGACCTTCGTCGACCACAACAGCGACGTACTCAGGCACTGCTTCTACAACATCAACAGGGAATTCGTGGACGACATACGGTAGGTAAACTACCTAAACAGTCAGGCGGTCTGTCTGTCTGACAACACAACACAAATGACATGTCTACTCACTCACAGCCTGAGTGAGGCACGGAAAGGAAAGGCTCTCTGTGTGTGTTGATGTGTCTGTCCGGCAGAGAGATATTGGTGACGGGACGCCGCGCGCGTGACCGTGTGACGCGTCTCGACCGGCGTCGCGGCAACGTCTTCTGCTTCCGCGTGGCGCCCTCCTTCATCCACTCGCTGTGGGGGTGATATGAGTGATGCACACACAACACGGTCATCCAGCCATCCAGCCATCGTCAGGATCCATGGCGTGCATCCAGCAACGGTCCATCCCATGCATCCGAGTGCATATGCATGAGAGGCTGACACATACAATACAGACAGATGAGGGGAGAGAAGGGAAAAGAAAAAGGTGCAGCCAGTCAGTCAGTCAGTATGTAATTGACAACCAACGGCCCGGCCGGCCGGCCGGCCGGGTGCTTTATATATCGTACCTACAGTATTGTATGCTATGCCGAGTGAGTGAGTGTCCGAGAAAAGGACACGTTCAGTGCAAATGAAGAATGGCGCAGCCGCAGAGGCGACATCACCGTATCAACTGCATGACGACACAATGCAGACACCGCAGGCAATGCATGGATTGTGTCCATGGGATTGTGTGTCGGTCGCCTTGATTGTGTGGCTGGCCTCGCACCCGTGGCTACCTTTTGGCGATGCACTGTCGTCGCCATCCGCCAGCAGCGGCCGGAAGCTTAGGTGCTGTGATCGAGTGTATCGTTTGGCTGGCTGGCTGGCTGGCTGGCTGTACGTGTTTGGTTGGTTGATTATGTGGCCTCGATCTGCCTTTTGTCTGAGTTGTGGCGGTGCGACCTAATGGATGAATGGATGGATGGATGAACTAGATGACTGTCTCAGCGGTCAAGCCTTGGTTTACACACGCTGCTGCTGCTGTCGAAGGGATTGGGATGAGTGGTGCTGCTCGAAAACCACATTGAAAGGCACAGACGCCTCTCTATCAGCCAAATTGGCCTTCAAAACTGCCCTGTTCTCGCGAAACCCCGCCGCACAACGCGATCGCTTCGGATCTCTCGCTCTCATCTCTCCTCCAAATCATGAGCCGGATGCCATTTTCCTTCCATTCGATGGTCTTGTTGAGCAACGTGGCTGCAGTGATTTCCCTCAGCTGATCTCGTTGCTGATCGGACCTCCCGATGCTGTCGGCCCTGCTCTTTGCGCTGGCCCTTATCGCCACCCCGACCGGCTCATTTCCTGCGGCTGACTTCGACGAGGAGATGGATTCATTGACGATGACGACGATGGCGCCGACGAGGCGGCCCAATATTTGTTCGAGGCGAGTGACCATGTCACTGGAGAGCCATGACACTGCCCAGCAGTTGAGAGTCTTGTGGGCCATCACAGAGGATATAGCGGAGAGCGTTCACCCGGAGGAGGCTATGCGATATGTTGATCCGTTGCGGACCATCGTCCATCTGTTGGGACAGACTCAGGACAGCCACGTCACGCGCGAAGCAGTCGAACTGCTGGTGCAGGTGGCACGAGTCGGCGCTCGGGCCACCGAGGCGTTCACCGAGGAGGGGATACACCTACTTACAACGGCCTTCGTGCAGCTGCTGGATCATAACGATGAGCGTGTCGTGAGAGCGGCGGCATTAATCCTGAGCAGGACTCCCACCGCATACGGACTTGTTCAAGGGGGGGTTGCACACGTGACGCCGCCTGGTCTGGCAGATGTGTTCTTCGAGTATGGAGCGGTGTCGAAGCTGTCGCCCTTACTTCTTTCGAACGACCACCTTATGTGCAGTTATGCCGTGAATGCAACATTCGTCGCGCTGACCGCCCTACATCAGACTGCACGTGAGTCGAATGGCTGTAGAAAGGTAGGCACCTCTTGAAGCCATCTGTTTGTCTGTCTGTCTGTCTGTCACTTGCTTGCAATGCACGAATATGTGTGGCAGACACGCGCCCCCAGACGATTCCCACGTGCATGGCGCAAACGATCCAAGCTGAGGTCATCCCGAATTCGATCACGGCTTGTGGACCCGGAAGCCACAAGAAGGCGCTTACCGAATATATTCCTTTTATGTCGTGTTTATCTTTTACGTCGTGTTTATTGCCATGGAAGTGGGGAAATGAATCGGCGGTGAGCGGGGCGGGGCGAGTAGATCACACTATTCTGTGTTCATGCATGTGTGTCTCGTATGTGTGTTGCAGGTCAGCTATGCAGTCGACCAAGGCTGTGTCGGCGTAGCATGCGACCTGCTGGAGTCCAGCAAGGATCGCATGGACGTCAAGAATACTCTGGCAGTATTGTCCAATTTATTTGTCAGGTGCGAGAGAGCCAGCGGATGTCTTGCGTGTTAACTGACCATGCTCTCCTGTCAATCAATCAGAGCAAGTGCGGCCTTGAGGATGAGAATCTCGTCTCAGATGAGGGTCTGACACACTTGAGACGATGCCGCCTAACCGGTGTCATTTTTTGCACCTTTGTGGCTTCAGAGCAGCTGTAAGCGAGCCATCCAAGAACTGACCGAAGAATTCGCGTGCGGCCGTGATCCAAAGCGAGCCAAAACGAGCGATTGTTTGGCGATCAGATCTCCTTGGGCCTACGCCGATGACGATATAGTAGTATGCACAGCTGCGTGGATCTGCATGGTGTGTCTGGCGTGTCCCTGTGTGTCTGGCAGGTCACTGACTTGTATCGGCTGCCAAGAAGCATTGATCTCGTACGACACAAGAAACAACAGACAGAAAACTTTCTCCTTCTGTCTTTCCCAATAGCCTTTGCCTTTGCAGCTTTCCTCTCCTTGGGCGCCCTGGGTCGCAGGTACTCTCGCTGTCCTGCTCGGCCTGTCGGCACTGTGGCGCTTTGTTGTCGGTCCCTGGCTGCAGCGTCACTGGCAGCGTCGGCAGCAGCGCCAGGCCGAAGACACAGCGACACAGCTGATAGCTGAGGAGGAAACAGTGAGGAACAGGGGGCAGGGGAGGGGCCGCAGAGGTCATGCCAGGCATCCCAATGCTGCTTCTGCTGCCCGCCGGCCCGCTGACCAGCCATCCTCTTCTGCTGGCGATGACGGTGGGATGGCCTCCACTGCGGCATCAAGCGGCAGCCACAGTGGCTGCCTGACACCCACCTCGTCTGGCGATGGATCGGCTCATCCTCTGCAGCAGGAGGAGCATCAAGAGGAGCCGACGCCAGACGACGGCGGCGAATGGACAGCCGCCGCGCGACACAGGAAGAAGAAGAGCAGAAAAGGCGGGACCACTCAAGCGACTTCACGACAGGATGCTGGTCAATCGAGCTCATCTCGGGAGACGGCGCCGCGACAGCAGGCGCCAAGCACCGCCATGAGGAAGAGCCCCCCTCGCCCCCTCGTCCCTCCTCTAGTGAGCCCATCGCCTGAGCATCACTCGTCGCCTTATGCCGACCGGCAGCAGGCGCCGGAGAGAGCCGGCGTAGCACCGGCTGCCGCTCATGGTAATGCCTTTGTCGGCGCTCAACGAGGCCAGAGCTTCGCGGGCCGGTCGTCGTCGTCCAGCGGTCCTTCTGATGACTCTGCGTGGGTCAGGGGTGTGGGGGCTGCTTGGTCTCAGTGGGGCTCAGGGCAGGGCGGTGGACATCACAGCCAAGACCCGACGGAGCGGCAAAGGAGAGCAGAGGCCGCGGCTGCCGATGATGCCCACAGCGTCGATCCCGCACGCGCCATGGCCTTAGAGCAGAAGCAGCAGGCTGTCGACAGACTGCAGGAGTGAGCCGAAAAAGCGATGAATGGGCGGCACTCGCACTGCAGTCAGCACGTGTGTGTCTTGGCATGTGTGTGCAGGCTGCGTTGTGAGTTGGACGGCAAGTTGGCGGCCATCGCCTCGCTGGAGCAGCGAAAGACCAAACTGATACGCGAGAAGGAAACCGCAATGGTCAACGCACCCAAGTGTGACGAACCGCACCCACACACACAGACACAGAGGGCGGAGACCTTGACGCGCCTCGTGTCGTGTGTGTTATGTGTTTCAGGTCTGTTGACGAGTTGGATGAGGTGGTTCGTGCGGGCGGCGTTGAGGGCATCCGGCAGTTTTCCGCTGAGGCCGAGGCCGAGAAGGCCGCCCTGCAGCCCATCTACGACGCCGCACTCGCCAAGATCCGGCAGCTCAGCAGCGGATCGGCAGCAGTGGAAGAGCCCCACATGGAGAGGGAGCAGGACACCGCCACTGAGGGGGCAGCAGCGGCATCGGGGTCTTCCTCGGCTGATGCGGGTGGCCTCTGTGGGCCGCTGGAGGGCAGCTCGTCGGGTGCTGGTGTAGCTGATGACATTGGTGGTTTGGGGCTCGGCGAGCAGCTGGCGAAACTCACACAGCGCATCTCAGAGTGAGCACAGAGACAGCGGGGATTCCCACACCGCCATATGTGTGTGACTGTCTGTGTGTGGCATTCAGGGTCGAGCAGCAGCTGGGCAGCGGTGAGCTGGATCGTCGGCTGAGGTGCCTCTCGCATGAGGTGGGGAAGCTCCAGTCGCGTGTCGATGCCATCAGGATGGACACCCATAACAGGTATGAAACAAGGGCACACACATCGGCTGTCTATCTGTTTGTCTCTCTGTGCAGGCCTTCGATGGCTTGCCTCTCGTCCATCCACACGGTGGCCGAGGCGACGGCCTTCCTCGCCCGCGTCATGGCCCGCATTCACAGCTCGACGGGCTCATGCTTCGGGCGCACCAGGAGGAGAATCGGCAGCTGCAGCGGCGCATCGACGACAGGGAGGACGACGAGTCGTGTGCCGTGTGCCACGACGGGCAGCGGACGGTGGTGCTCATCGGCAAGGCGCCGTCCACCTGCCGCCACCGATGTTTGTGTGTCACCTGCTGGCACACGAGCTATGCGCCGGGGAGGGGCAACACGCAGTGCCCCATCTGCAGAAGCGACATCGACTACAGAAAGTCGGGGCCCACCATTTAGACGATTTGTGGGGTGTACAGTTGTCGGGTTCATGTTAGTGTGTCGGGTCGGCTGAGGAGAGATGCAGCCCCATTCACTCGAGGCGATGCTGACTGCGCGTGTGTGTGTGAGGATGGGATGATCAGTGCATTTGTGTAGTTCATGACGCTGCATCATGATGGTCTGTTCTCGTGTTCGGCTGCTGTGCAGCGGCTGTGCAGAGATTATCTAACCAAACAGATAGAAGATAGTGTCTCATCTGTGTGAGTGTAGTGTGAGAGAGGTGACATGGGAGAGGGCGAGATGAGAGAGAGATGCATGAGCTTGATCTTGCCCTCACTTGATTCGTATGTGCACGCCACGCCACCACTGGACACCGACATGGACCCCAGCTGTATGTGTGTACATCATGATGTGTGTGTAGTGTTAGTGTGTGGTTGACTAGGCCATAGCCATTATTGTGTATACATATGGTTCGTGCGCACCGCACACTGATTTCCCCCTCCACACACACCACCAACCCACCAATTAACGAACATCGGCTTTTACAGTAAGCGGAGTGTCTGTAAACAGTGATACTGCAGCAAACGCAGCAAGGGCCTACCATCCATCCATCCATCTGTCTGTCCCTGGAAGACAGACACTTAATGTCAGCCGCCCCCATCCTCAACACACACGTGTCAATCACACCACCAGAGCCACACGGCTCACATACCTGACACAGCAACACCCATCACACAGAGAGGGAAAGAGAGCACACAATACAATGAGCCGAAAAAACTACATGGATTCTCCCGCCCCTCGTGTGTCCAACGGACCAGAGCGTTGGCTCTTCTGTCGGATGTTCGGCAGTAGCCGCACAGCGTCGTCCATCTTGTTGTGGGCGATGTGAACTGTCCGAGGAAGGCAGCAGGACCACTGACGCCCTGCTGGGGCGCCTCGGTGGTGTGGATGGAGATAGATGCCGACCCGTAACTCAACTTGTCCATCTTGATGCACGCCGCGAAGTCGTCGCCATCCTCCTCGCCACACAGTATGACGAGTCGGTAGGTGCGGTAGATGCCGTAGTCGATGGTGCGGCAGCCGTCCCACAGGGGCGGCTGCTGGGCCATCAGGGCACAGATGCGATGATACTCAGCAGAGGACGGACAGCAGTCCTGACCCGACACTCGAGGCAACGACAGCCATGCCATCCTGAAAGAGCAGGAGGGAACGTACAGCACCCGACACATTGCTGTGTTGTGTTCTCCCGTTTAAGGAGTGGCTGCATACCTCTCGACGACCGACTCACGGAAGCTGCCGTAGTCGAAATCCTGGTCTGCAGGCACAGACAGACACACAGCGGCAGACACCATCCATCCATCCATGTCAAATGGCCTGTCCTGTGGTGCTTTGCCCTCCCCTCTCTCACGTCGGCACGGGGGGTCGGCCGGATTGAATCGATCTCGATACCTGGCCGGCACCGTCTGCTGTGTGTGAACCGTCACCTGCCACCCGGCCAGCTCGTCCTGCCGGCGGTTGGCATTGCGCGTCAGGTGCATCCTGTCGCCCAGTTGGTGGCTGTAGAGGCTGTACTGGCGGATGGCCTCTGGGCGGCTGAGGTAGAGGGTCTTGTCGGCCGTCGCCAGCCGCACGTCAGCCGATGTGATGATGAGTGGGAGGGAGGCCAGGAGGCCACTGCTCCTGGCCAGGCGCAGAATGGGCTCATTCGCCGCCCACTGCCCGCCCTTGACCAACACCCACCACAGGTGGTGTTGTTGGTGTTGTCATCGTGCTCATACGTCAGCCATCCGTCGATGTGTTGGTCGCGCAGCAGCTGGTCGATGCGTTTCTTTATCTGTTTGGTGATGTTGGTGGCCAAGTCGAGTGTCTTGCAGGCAGCGAAGAGAGCGGAGACCTCCACGCCCAGAAGGTCCGTAAAGTCTCCCGACAGAGCCGCCACTTCATGAGGCCCGAGGCGATCGACCATGGCGTTGAACAGACAGAAGGGCTCGCCGCTCTGCGCAAGCAACCAAAAAGAGGCGACACGTGAGTCGAGGAGGATGGATTCATGTCAGCGATCGATGCTGTGCAGGTGTGTACCTTCTGTCCGTCGAGGCTCTGCTGCTGGGCCACCTTACGGCCAACCCATTTGAAGCCATCGCACACCTGCGAACCAACAGCACAAGATCCTCGTCAAGAGGACATCCCAACCGCCCGCCAGCTTGCTCGTGTGTGTCTGCTTACTGCTTCGACGTTGGCAAGCTCGTGGAAGTGTGATGTTGCGTTGGGCACGACTATCTTGAACTCCTCTGTGCCGCCCTCCTCCCGCATGAACACCCTCGTCCCTCCCGCAGTCGGCTCCAGCTTGGACACGAGGCCTTCACCCACAAGTGCCTGCCCTTCCTGGCTTCGCCGTCCGACACCATCAGCACTCGGCTGCCCAGACGATACCGACAGGACGATGCACCGACAGCCACCTGGGGGACACCAAGCTCCACCTGGATGTGGTCGATCTCCTCTCTGAGCCGCGCGGCCGTCTGGCTGGCTTCCTCAGGCGTCTTGAGCGTGAGGAGGTCTCCGAGGATCCACTCGAGTCCACAGAAAACCAGCACTCGAGGCCACAGTTCGTCAAGCCACTTCAGCACCTTGACCAACACCTGCCCAGGCAGACAGACAGGCAGACACACAACAAGCAAGAGAGATAGTTTAGGTTCACATGCAATCAATCAACAGACATACCTCTGTCGCTGGCTCACCTTCCTCCCTTCAGCAGACAGAGCGTATCGGACCAGACCGATGACAACGAGACAACACAGCAGCGTCAGCAGGTGGAGGCCGGTCCTTGACTCGGAAGCGACGAACATCTGGCACAGACAGAGCCTTCCTGACGTGGCGAAATAATGGTCAGCGACAATAATTGTGTGACAGCGGGTACATGTACGATGCCCTTCGGCTTCTCCTGTTGCGGCTCCTCTCTGGTGCTCGCCGTGCTCATCGCTTCCTCTGCGGAAACGTGCGAAGGCCGACAGTTGCCCCTGCTGCGTGAGCTGGAGAGCAACGACAGCCTCAAGCAGCTCCACGTGTTGCAGTCCCTCTTTGAGGACATCGGGGAGGGCTTACGGCCGCAGGAGGATGCTGCACGATACGCTGGTCTCTATGGTCAGGCTCTCCTTGCCCTCGCCGGCGACTTTGGACACCCTGCAGTCCAAGTTGAGGCGGCGGCTCTGCTGGCCATGATGGCAGAGACCGGCACTGAGGCTGCTGACGCCCTCGCCCGGTGAGTGGGTGAGAGGTCGGATGCTTGTCCGTTGGTTGACAGGCAGGACCCATGTGTGTTGCTGTCTGTGTCTGGTGTCCTGTATAGTGTTGGTGCTCGGTCGTCCGTCATCGAGACTCTCATTCACGCAACGGATTTGCCGGATGACAGAATGATGGACGTTGCGGAACCTTTGAGCACCGTCCTGCATCACCTTCCCCGAGGGGATGAGGCGCACGAGGCTGCGCTTGCCCGGCTGGGGGATCGTTATAACGCCGTCCAAGACAGGGCGGCGGAGAAACTGATAAATGAGCTGAACAGTGATGAGAGGCACGAGCAGCTACGGACGCTGCGGGGGATCCCCTCCGTGGTCAAGAAGAGCAAATTCCCAGAGAAAGCTGCTGCCGAGATTGTCGGTCAGTTTGGGCCGGCCATCCTTGGCCTCGTCGGCGACTTCGACCACCGTGAAGTGCAGGTTGAGGCGGCGACTGTCTTGCAGCAGGTGGCAGAGACCGGCACTGAGGCCGCTGAGGCCCTCGCTCGGTGAGTCGAGGTGGCACCGGTCGGCTGGCACGAGTGTGACTGTCTGTCTGTCTGTCTGTTTCAGACTGTTTGTCAGAGGTGGCACCCATTCGTCGCTTGTCGATACCCTCAGCCGCACTTTAGAGCTGCCAGACAGCGACATGGAGGACATCGTGAGGCCTCTGACTGCCATCCTGAAGCACTTGCCGTGGATCTATGGTCCGCCCGAGACTGCTACTACCATTTTGCCCCTGTTTCAGCTGCTGGACCACAGCCACTCGTCGGTCAAGAATGCTGCAGTGGTGATGCTCGCCAGGATTCCGGTCCACACATCGCCCGACGGATCGTGTGCTGTGACAGCACCAGGTCTTGCTGATGCTCTTGTCAACCATGGGGGTGTGGAAAAGCTGTCGGCCTTGCTTCTGTCATCTGACAACTCGACTCGGGACCGCGCCGCCGTCTTGTTATTCACGATGGCGGTGACGCGCATATGCGAAGGTAGGTGGCGCTGTTTGTCATTCACTTCTGTGCGTGTTTGTGTGCGGACTTTACTCCAGACTACATCGTAGGGCGCAAGTCTGGCCTCAGTCCTACGGCCATAGTCACAAACCGCATCCTGCCCAACGCTTTCAAAGGCCTCGACTGCATGCCTTTAGTGCATGCAGTGTGCAGCTCTCTGTTGTTCGAGGGGGACGAAGGACAGGTACGCTTCTCGACTATGTGCCCATGCCATAAATGGAATCATGCGGTGTACATTGTGATGTGCACTGCTGTGTGTTCAGCGTCGGTACGCCGTCGACAACGGGTGCCTCGAGGCGGCGTGTACATTCATCTCGACCCCGATATCGGGGGGCTTACCTGTACACGAGCGCATTGAAGAGGGCCTTATCACAACATTGCTCCTGGCCTTCAAAGAGATACTCAGGTACGCAACGAACGCCATCCACACAAGGGTGAGGCATCCTGTCTGTTTGTTGGTGGTGCATTGATTGATCAGGGACAGCGACGTTTTGGGGCAGGAAGTCGCAAAGACTATCGTTGGCAGCATGGTCGGATGCGATGTGCACTCACTAAGTCACTTGCGTGGCGCACACGGTCTGTTTTGGTGACTGCAGAGATGCCAGCAGTCGATTGAATACATTGCAAGGAGCCCTGATGCTAACATTGCCAGCAGCGCCGCACAGGCTGTTACGAATACGCTGTCCGTCTACGCGGCGGACCTGCGTCGGCGAACAACAACCGGGGAAACGGTACGCAGGGCCCAAAAGGCACCGTTACAAGGCCGACCACTCTTCCTTTGCAGCTGTCCTCACCTTGGGCGCCGTGGATTGGGGGCGGAATCCTTCTTGTGGCTGTCGCCTCCGTGCTGTGGTGGTTTCTCCAGCCCCACATCGACCGATGGAACCAAAGCCGTGAGCAGCGTCAGGCCGAAGACACAGCGGCACAGCTGATAGCTGAGGAGGAAGCAGAGAGGAGCAGAGGGCAGGGGAGGGGCCAGAGAGGCCATGCCAGGCAGCCCAACGCTTCTGCTTCCCGCCGGCCGACGGCTCAGCCATCCTCCGCTGCTGCTGACGATGACAGTGAGAGTGCCTCCACTGCCACACCCAGCACCAGGGCCACTAGCAGCAGTGACCTCCAGCCACCCACCATGTCTGGGGATGGATCGGCTGATCAGCATCAGGTGGAGGCGATGGCAGACAGTGGCGGCCAGTGGACCCAGACCACAGAGGGACACCGAAAGAAGAAGGGCAGAAAAGGCGGGCGGCCAGGCAGAACTGGTGGGTCAGCTTTGCGACCGGAGGCTGGTCTACCGAGCTCATCTCATTTGGCGGCGCCCCCACAACAGGCGCCAAACGACTTCAGCAATGGCCATCCCATGACGCCGCCCAGCAGCTCTCCGACGAGAGACAGTGAGGGGCATCCCTCTGGAGACCTCAGCACTGCCACATCGACGGCCGACCAGACGCCGCGCGACACTCTGCCGATGAGCGTCAGCATACCAAAGAGGGGGCGGGCGGCCGGGAGGGGCCTGGGGCTGCCAACCATCGCACCACCGCCGCCATCGATGGGCGCGGCCCCTCCGACTCCCTGGCTGCCGTCAGCAGAGGACATCAGCAGCTCGACGGCTCATCGGCCGCCCCTTCCCCCGCCCCCGCCCCCTCCGCCCAGCCCTCCTGAGGTCTCGTGTGGTGCTGCCCTCAGCCATGAGTGGCCCTCATCGGGAAGTTCGGTGCGTGCTGATGATGGTGCGTCCCGCAGGGGCCCCCCGCCACTCGTCAAGTGCGGCAGGTGAGGACACAGAGCATTGGGCAGGGAGGGAGGCCATCTCATTGCCGACCATTGTGCCGTGTCTCCTTCACTTAGGTTTGCGTCTTGTGGTGGTGGCGGCGTTCGGCGGCCAGTGACATTCCCCGACAGGTGAGGATCGAGGCGTCACGGAGATGACGGATTGACTGTTTCGCTGGTGCTTGTGTCAGGTCTCCTGCCTGCCCGCCGTCCAGCAGCTTCAATGAGGGACTCCACCCACTCCCACCTGCCGCCGCCGGTGCTGCCAGCAGCAGTGCGTCTATGGTGGACTGTCTGGTCTGTTTCGGCGAGCACGGCCCCGCGGCCGTCATGTACATCCCCTGCAGACACATGCACATCTGCACCACCTGCTATGCCAACCGCAAACAGGCCTGGCAGCGGAGACTCGGCCGGGTGAGGGCCGAGAACGCCGATAGGAAACGGGCTAACGTGGTGCTGGCGCAGGGTGAGGGTGCGGAGCAGCTGGAGCTGCTGGACGAGCCGGAATATCGGTGCGAGCAGTGTAGCAAGGCGGTGGATTTCGCCGGGACAATGGCGGAGGCCTTGCAGTGGGTCTCAAATCCCTTCATATCGCAGCCCGAATGAGGGAGGGAGGGAGGGAGGGAGGGGAAGGCGTCGACAGTTAATTAGTTCCATCCATGGCATGTGCATGCCTGTCTGCTCGTTGCGAGGGAGAAAGGAGTGTCAGTGTGTGTGTATGGGAGACTAGACAGGTTCTCACTCTCTATTTGTTTGTGTACGACCGGCCCTTCTGTGCTGCCGGTCCGAACAATTAGAATTTAGCTGGGTGGATCATGTCATCTACTTACTGATCTGTCTGTCTGTCATTCATTTGTGTCGTGATGGGAGATAGATACAAGTGCATCACGGGTTGAGAACCGCAGGTGTCTCTCTGCTGGCTGGTGCATTCATTGGTCTCCGCCACATACCTTAGTACTCAAGTATGTATGTATGTATGTTTGTATTTATCATGTCGTACGTACATTGTTTACTGATCTGTAGCTGTCGCTTGCTGGGTCAAGCTACTCTGTGGGCTGACTGACACGTGGACAAAGAAATGTTGGATGTATGTCTGTTTGTGGGCTCTGTCTGCATGGGCGTGGCGTTCACGTGGTTACAAATAACTTTCATAGACGGACACGGACACGGACACGGACACCAACTCCTGTCCGTCCGAGCACTCACACATGGTTGCATCTATCCACACTCGAACAGTCCATTCATCATAGCTTCCGCAGCCCCAGGAACCCCTCGCAAGAGGTGACAGTCTGTCCCTCCCCCACTCTCCTCGCCCTGTCTCCACCCCTCTCCGCCACACACACTGACACACGCGCCTGGGCCGGCAGCACCACATACTCTATCATCGTGCAGCCCCCAACAGCGCTGGCCGACGCGCCGCCGTCGATAGTGCGTCTGCCGCTGGTCTCGACCACCTTGCGATCGTTGACTATGAGGCCCACCTTGGCCGCATCGCCCCCGAACACGCCACAAGTGGCCTCGTACAGCCCGGGGGCGCGGGCCACCACAAAGGTGCTGCCGGACTGCCACAAGAGGTTGTCCGGACCTGTGGACATGACACACATCATCAATTCACATCGACAACGAGAGTCTGTGTGTCTCTCTTCATCTCTACATGTGTTGACGACCTCCACTTCATGGCAGGTTAGGGCGACAGGCGGCCCGCCACTCTCCCCCGAACCATGATGTGGTGCTCCTGGTGACAGTGTCAGCAGGCCGCTCTCCGTCCGCCCCGACCGCCATAGCCACCGGCCCAAAGAGTTCTCAGCACAGAGTGCGTCGTTGATGAGCGACTGCTCGGCCGCCATGGCCTTGAGGTCGCTCGTGTGGGCCGTCTGCTGCAGCTGCTCACGGATGGTGTCGTGCTGCTGTGTGTGAAATGCGTGGTGGCTGCTGACGGTGTGGCTGAGCTGCTCGAGGTTCGTCTGCAGGGACTGTGCTGAGTGTGCGAGAGAGGGGATGGAGGAGAGGGACCGCTCCATGTCATCTAGACGCAAGGATACCGACTCGGATACACGCTGCATCCGCACACACGAGGGACAGGACAATGCGAAACGGTCTCAGCGCCTGTCCTCTTCTTCCCCTCCCTCCCTCCCTGCCTGCCTGCCAATCCGTGTGCGCACCTTACCTGTATGTGTGTGCGCTGTGTCTGGACTGCGGTGTCCATCTCCCCCACCCGCCCCTTGACTCCCTTGACCGCCTCTCCCACCGCTACCACGTCGTCCCGCAGCTCCCTGACCTCACTATCGGCCCTCTCCCTCTCCTCGCGACGCTGCCGCGCCACAGTGGCCACATGCTGCTCCAGACGGTCCACACGCTCCTCTGCACGCCCCACCCGCCCACCCACCTTGTGCTCGTGCGCCGCCACGCCCTCTCTGAGCGACTGCACCTCCTCCTGCACGGCCTGCAGGCTCTTGAAGGGCTTGACGACGGTAGTCTTGACCTTCTGACTCACCATGCTGTCCACCTGGCTCTCCGTCATGTGCCCTTCCACTCGCTTGGTCAGCTGAGCTACGTCGGTGGCCGCTGCGCGACTCTCCACCGCCCGCCGCAGGGTCGCCACCTCTTCGCTCGTGGCCCGTCTGTCCACTGCTGACGCCACGCGGCGGAGGTCCCCGATGGATGCCTTGCCGTCGAGTGCCAGGCCGACCGAGGTGACCTGCTCCTTTAGGTCACGCACAGACGCCATCATGGCGTCGCGCTGCACAGACGAGGGGGCGGGAGGGGACGACTGGGTGGGCTGCTGACCGCCATCAGTGCTTCTCAGCTGGCCCTCGAGTGCCGCCACTCGGCTCTCGAGTGCGTTGATGGCGACTCTGTCGTCCCGCTGTGCCGCCTGCAATGCGGCTACGGTGCTCGTGAGGCCGTCGGTCCTCTCAGTGATGAGCCGCTCGCACTGCCGGGTGGCCTCGACCAGAACTTCATCCAGCGAGCGATTGACGTCCCCCACGGCCGTCTTGTGGTCGATGGCCTCGCGCATCTCGCCCATCTGCTGCGCCAATGCGTCGACGGTGCGGACCAAATCGATGCTGGCCGTTCCCTTGAGTTGTGTCTGCAGTGAGGCGACTGACGCCTCGGTGGTGCTCTGGTCGGCCTTGGTCTCCATCTTGCGCTCCAGTGCTCGCAGAGCCTCGTTCTGAGCCTTAACGGCTGCAGCCACACAGATAGGGGACACGGACATGCAGTTGATGTGAACTGGTGTTTTGTGGTGCCCTTTGGGTGCCTGGCATACGTACGTACCATCGTATAGAGTGCGGAAGGAGCTGCGGACGACAGACTGCAAATTGTGCCAGGTGAGAGGGCCGCTGAAGAGAGATGAGTCATTGATGCAGGGAGGCTCCATCGCGCTACGCATCACCTGTCCTTACTCTATTCTTTTGACCATCTTGTCATCTCAGGCGATCCGTCAAAAGCTCGCTGGTGGGGAAGGATTATCCTTGCAGAACCGTCTATCCTTCAGTCATTCCCCACACACAAGTCGACTCGACAGCCGCCCGCCATGGACCGCAGCACAATATTCGCTGTCGTCCCAATAGGTGCCTGAGATTATCCATGGCATGGCATCAATGGGCTGGCATTCATTCTGTGTGTGTTGCTGTGCTGTGTGCCATGTGTCAGCTCTGCTGCTGGTGTTCCTGCTGGTGAAACTGGACCGCATTGAGAGGAAGATCAGCGATGCACAGGTGCGGGGCCGGGTGAGAGATCTCTCATGACCCTCAGATCTAAGTGAAACATTCGTGTGTTTGCGCGCGTGTGCATATGTCCTATCCTCCCTCTGTCTGCAGCCTGCCCATGACAGTCTGCGCCGCCTGCAAGTCGACGTCGAGGACGAATGCCCTGGTATGTATGAATGGCCTGTGAGGGTGTCGGTGGACTGGACGAGTGTGCATCTCGGTCTGGTCTGTCTGTGTGCAGACCTGTATTCGCGCATTCAGCAGGCCATCGACGAGGGCTACACCTTCAAACCTGACAAGGTGAGTGACTGAGTGAGTCGTCTCCTGGACACCACACGACGGGGCCGGGCTGTCCTGTCACCTATGGGCACGGCATGTGTCTGCCTGCCTGCCTGCCTGTGTGTGTGTAACCAGCTGGCGATCCTCCGTGGTGACAACCAGCGTGTGGTCAAGACAGCCGAGTACCTCGACACCACGGGCATCTTCGGCCTCCTCGAGGCAAACCTCACCAACGTCGACAAGGTACACGACAGTCGTGCCTCTCTGTCGGGACTCTGTCCGACCGACAGTGGCCGTGTGTGTGTGTGTGTGTGTGTGTGTGCAGATCGAGACGATATACCTGCGGTGGACATATCCCATCGACCCTGAGAACAACACCCGCACACAGGAGAACGTCTACCTCGTCCAGAGCATCAGGTGAAGGGGGCATGTGGCGCATACCATACACCCACGCCACAGACAGACCCATACACACACACAGCACATCACATGTCATCTGTGTGTGGTGTGTGTGCAGGCGTTTCACCAACGACAGTGACGGCACCCCCGTGGTGGAAGTCGACTTTGTCGGCGGCGACAAGTCAACACATCACACACACAGCATAGCGTCCACAAACACACAACATCCGCTCTGTCTGCCTGCCTGCCTTGTCAGGTTGGTGTTGATAGCCGAGGGCGCCAACCTGTTCGTCTCCGACGACATGGATCGGCCCATTGCCGTCTTCAAGGGCCCTGCGGCTGACGCCAATCCAGATGCCATCGAGTACTACACAATCGCCGAAGAGGACCTCAGACGGTAGGCACACACACAGCACACTTCCACACGTGTGAGTGTATGCCATGTGTGTCGGTCCTGTCCTATGTCTGTGTGTGGTGTGTGTTCAGGTCTCTGCAGCGGGGCGGCGCTCAGACGGGTGCCCGTGGCGCATGGAATAGCGGTCTACGAGTGGGTGTAAAGGGAGATGCCACCAGAACTGCAAGTGAGTAGCGACTTGATAGAGAAGACACGCCCTCTGTTTGTCGCACGTGTACGTCGTGTCGCGTTGCATTCCTTTGTTCGTTCGTTCGTTCAGGCAACCTTGCCCGAGGGTTTTCGCCTGACCGTGGCAGCCTCAGATACCTCATGCGCACCTCCTGATCCACCGACTGACCGACCGACATGACCGATCGCGTCCATATCTGCATTCGTACAATCGCATTCACAGATGCGTACAGTCGTACATTCATGTGTACGCAGTGGCGCATTATTGATTTGTGAGCGCCACAGACAGTAAGAGAGAGGGAGAAGGGGATATGTGAGTGAGTGTGTCTATGGTTCTGTAGTCGTGGATGGCTGGATGGATGCGGGACTGTGTGTGAGTGGCTGATACCTTCAGGACGTTTTTATGAGTGTCTTGCCGATTGATTATCGCTGATGGCTGTGAGACAGACAGGCCCCGCAGAGGAAGACTGACACAGACCTTCCTTGGGGTGGGGTGATCCGATCTTCATAGATAGACGTACGTTATCGCAGCGAGGGGGAGTTCCACAGCTGTGGTGTGTCGCTTTGAGTGTCGGTCGATCTGGGCTTCGATCTTGTGAGCGTCGCGCTGTTGCGCTCTTTTTCTCCATCTATGTCAGCCAGTCAGTCAGTCAGTCGAGTGAATGGTGGCCAGCCACTCTGTCTGCGCACTAGTGGCTTGCTTCATGGCGACTGACAAACGGCTGGATGGTTGGTACCGGTTGGCTGGCTGGATTCGTTTATGGTATGGTGTATGTGGGACGTGTGTCGCTGCTGATCCACATGATCCGGCGATGCGATGCCGGACCTGAGAAGGGATGGCATGTATGTGTTGACAGATTGACATACAGGGGCGTAGCTTCCAAACCAATCGCTGTGTCTACGGCGCACTCGCACCGCCACCCGACCCGACCGATGAACACACTGACTGCATAGGCAGGCAATCGATCACGCACTACAAACACCGGAGGGGAAGGTTCGTGTGAAGGCGCACACACAGACAACAGACACGACACACTAAGGCCTCGAACGAACAGATATGGAAATGCGGCTGTTCAGCTGTGGCTGCATTCATGGGATGGCGGACAGACACAAATATAACTAATGGACAAATAAACAAGGAAAGAGACAGGGAACGATAGATAGAACAAACAGGGGCACTCACACAAATACGCGAAACCAGCCACCCTCCCGCCCTCCATCCCTCCCAAAGACACGTATTCACGGCCTAATTCCTTCCCCCATTCTCACATAGATGTCACCCACCTCACGGCCGTCCCTTCCTCTCTCGCCCACCTACGTCATGTGGTAACTTTGATGCCCTTCAGATCGGTGGCATAGTCGGCCTTGGTGAGACACGCCGGGCACTTGAGCTCCGCATCGATCTGCACGGCCATATCCATCGCCTTGTCCGGCACTCCCTCAGCCCTCAGCCGCTCCCTCTCCCCTTTAGCCCGCTTGTGGTTGCGGGACATGATGGCCCAGCAGGCGGCACACAGACACCGCTGCTTGCAGGGGAAAAAGACCACTGTTGGACCCGGCTCATGGCAGGCGACACACGTGCCGTCTCTGATGGCCTGCTCCGCTGCTGTCTCTTGTTGTGGTGTGCTGTCTTGGCTCCTGGGCTCCTCGGTGAGCAATTCGAGGGCCGCCGCACTGCTGCTGGTGGTGCTGGTGGTGCTGGCGCTGGCCGAGGGTGAGAGACGGTGGGGCTGCTGGGGCGTGTCACTCGTCTGGCGCTGCTCGTCACGAAATCGGCCCACTCTGAAACGACACAATAAATGAAAAGGTGTCCTTCCTGTGTCTGTGTGCGTTCGTACTCGGCCGTTGCTTGCAGCTGGCTGCCATGGCCATGGCCGCACTTGACGAGAGGCGGGGGGCCCCTGTTGTGGGACAGACCAGCTTGAGCACGCACCGAACTCCCCGATGAGGGCCACACATCGCTGAGGGCAGCACCACACGAGACCTCAGGAGGGCTGGGGGGCGGGGGCGGGGGCGGGGGAAGGTGCGGCCGATGAGCCGTCGAGCTGCTGATGTCCTCTGCTGACGGCAGCCAGGGAGTCGGAGGGGCCGCACCCATCGATGGCGGCGGTGGTGCGATGGTTGTCAGCCCCAGGCCCCTCCCGGCCGCCCGCCGCCTCTTTGGTATGCTGACGCTTATCGGCAGAGTGTCGCGCGGCGTCTGATCGGCCGACGATGTGGCACTGCTGACGCCTTCAGACGGATGCCCCTCACCGTTCGTCGTCACAGGGCTGCTGGACGGCGTCGTCAGGCTACTGCTTGCGCTGGTTGGCGTCTGGTGAGAGGAAGTCGCTTGAGTGCTGCCGCCCCTCTTGGTCCTGTTCGACCGATTGCGCGTCACCGCCTTCCACTGGCCGTCATCAGACTCCATCTCAGCCACGGTGGTCGATTCCTCTCGCAGCACACTGGGTGTCTGGCGGCCACTGCTGCTGCCGCTGCTGCTGGCTGTTGTACAGGAGAGCCGCCCACCCTGGTCATCACTACCAGAGGAAGGCTGAGCGACGGGCCGTCTGCGGACGGTGGTCTGTTGTCGCCCCTTGCCGCCTCTGCCATTGTCCCTGTTCTTCTCCGCCTCTTCGTCAGCCAGCAGGTCTCTCTGGTGCCGCTCGGCTTGCTGCTCCCGTCGGTGCTGCCGCAGCCGCAAAAGGTGGACGTAGAGGAAGCGCCACAAACGCGGCAGCATGACTAAGGCGGCAAGGATGATAGCGATGCCGATAATTCGGGTTGACAAGACTCGGTGGCCGCCCGGGGTCACTGCGAGAATGCGGACGGCCGCTGCCTTCACCGTCAGGTCACTATGGTCCAGCAGCTTGGCTAGGAGGGGCAGCCCGCCCGCCTCCATCAGCTGATTGGTCGACTGAGCACCAGCCTCACGCAAGAGGAGCTGCAGGGGGCGTAAAATGTTGAGGGGACTGAGGGCACCAGCTGCGTGTCTGCCTGAGAGCTCCGTGCTGCGTCTGAGAGCCTGGACAAGAGAGGGGATCGCGCCAAACCTGAGACAATTGACGAGCCCACAATCGATCGCCCAGCGTACAGTACCCACCCCCTGCACTCACTCACTCACTCACTCACTCACCGGATGAACACATCGACCACCCGAGGGCCGCTCCCGGCAAAAAGGCCCAGGACCTCGCCCGCTGCCCGCTGGACGTCATCGTCCTCTGTCTCGCACAAGACACGCAGGACAGATTCCCCAAGCTGATCGGCATACTGTGCGACCAGCAGCTGCTTGGTGGTCGCACGCTCGCTTCGGAAAGTGCCCTCAACCACTCCCACCAACGCACCCAGTAGCTGCTGCTTGTCGTCGCTCCTCAGTTGCAGGGTCAACATCTTGATGGATGCCGCTGCCCGCCCGGTGAACTGAACGGGGCCCTCAGGTTCATCGAGGATACTGACGTCCGACTCGTCAAGGAGGGAATCCGTGTCCGTGCCGTCACTGTCGCCACTGTCGTCACTGTCGTCACTGTCGTCCTCCATGCTCTCCACGTTTGCCTCCAATAGCTCCATGGCCCTTTTGGCTCTCATGCTGATGGCGTCAGTGGGGTGCTCAACGAGCTCCTTGATCGACTGCCCACAACCATGCTGCAGACAGGTAGATACACAAGACGACAGACGATCCGTGCGATTCGGGTGTTTTGCCCCTCGTGTGGTCAGTGCAGTGAGACCGTCGTAAGGATGGCGGCTGTGGCTCGCTGCCTCAAACTGCCACTGAGCGAATTCTGGTAGAAGGTGTCCCAAGGCGAAGGAGTGGACCTGAGGGCACCCCCCAAGGAGTCGACCAGGAGAGTGTCAAAGTAATCCCAGTCCGACAACGGCGCCTGCATCTGCTTGACACGCGCCGTCAGGAAGACACACGCCTTTTCAATGCATCCGTGAGCAGCTGCGTAGACTTGCTGCATCCAACGCAACGCACACACAGACACATCCAGAGGAAGATTGAGAGAAATTAAGAAGAGCTGTTGTCTCTTTCCTTGCCACCTCACCTGGGTGTCATTCCCCCTGTGTATCAGCAGGTTACACACACGATGATACGGCAGGATGTAGGCAGCTGCATGGCTTCCTCGGCCAACATGGCTGCCTGATGCGGCGACTGCCAGCTTGGGCAACACTTCAGAATCGATGATGGTCTCAATCACGGCTTGCTGCAGCCCAGGCCGCTCGGCTGATATATCGATCACACACAGTTGGACCAAACAAACAAATACACAAACAAAGAGAGGGTTGTGGTGCCCTGCAGTGGTTGGTGTGGGTGTTCCATCTTACGAAGGTCATCAAGTATGGGCATCAAGATGTGTTCTACAATGACAACGGCATTGTGACGCATCTCGACATCGGGCCGTAACAGCAATGCCGAGAGCTTCTTGAGCGCCCCATGCTCGAACAAGGTGTAGGCCACATCAACACACGCAGGTCTTGGAGCCACACACAGAGCGAATTGGAGCTTCCTGATGATGGTGGTTGCGGCTCTCTTGACCTCCTCGTGCTGGTGGTCCAGCAGCCGAACGAGCGGAGGCAGCCCGTCGGCCTCGAACAGCTCATCCTTCCACGGTAAGCCATTCTCATCGGCCACGAGCACAACCTGGTGCAAGGGCATGACGATGGCTGAGGCAAGCTCTTCGTCTGGGAGGTCTACAGCACGCTTGATGGCCCTCACAAGAGAAGAGATGACACCCACCCTGACACAGACACACCCAGAATGCCTCTCTTTATATCTCTGTGTCAACACTACCGTATGAGGGCCCCAACGGCCTGGGTGCCGGCCTTCCCGATTGACGTCAGCAGCCTTGATGCCTCCAGCTGCAGAGCCGTCTCAAATGCTCCTCCCAGCAGAGCGCCGACGGCCGCCCCGGAGCGCTCCGCAACGCCTGCAGCAATGTGGTCCGGCCGTGTGCTGTCGGCGATGACCTCACGCAGCTGCTTCATGAGACCGTGCACCTCATCCCTATGAAGATCGCCGCTCACGGCTGGCGACAAGGAGGCCAGCGTGACGACGAGCGCAGCCGCCAACATCAAGGCAGGCAGGACTTCTGTTTTCATTTCTGATGGCTTTTGTCGCTTTATTTCATCACGTCCCGCACACCGGTCGAACGTGCCAGTCTCAATCGCAGCTCCCGTCCTCAGATGTCAAACAACGACATGGCAAGAACGGATGGATGGATGGATGGATGGATGGATGGCCGGAGTGCGATTCATCTACAGTGAGGAAGTGACAGACAGGACACCATTGCCCTCAGAAGGACCGTGCCCTTGCCTCCCAATATTTCAATCGCGTCATGCATCCAACCGCTGCATAGCAGCCGAAAAGGAGAACAGATCATGCAGCGTCATGAACTACACAAATACACTAATCATCCCACCCTCACACACGTGCAGTCAGCATCGCCTCGAGTGAATGGGGCTGCATCCCATTCTGCAACGCCCTTACAGCAGCTCTCCTCCACCCGACAGACTAACATGAACCCACCAGCTGTACACCCCACAAATCGTCTAAATGGTGGGCCCCGACTGTCTGTAGTCGATGTCGCTTCTGCAGATGGGGCACTGTGTGCTGCCCCGCCCCGGCGCATAGCTCTTGTGCCAGCAGGTGACACACAGACATCGGTGGCGGCAGCCGGACGGCGCCTTGCCGATGAGCACCACCGTCCGCCGCCCGTCGTGGCACACCGCACACGACTCGTCATCCTCCCTGTCGTCGATGCGCCGCTGCAGCTGCCGATTCTCCTCCTGGTGCGCCCGAATGACGAGCCCGTCGAGCTGCTGAATGCGGCCCATGACGCGGGCGAGGAAGGCCGTCGCCTCGGCCACCGTGTGGATGGACGAGAGGCAAGCCATCGAATGCCTGCACAGAGACAGACAGTGGACAGACAAACAGATAGACAGCCGATGTGTGTGTACTTGTTTCATACTTGTTATGAGTGTCCATCTTGATGGCGTCGACACGCGACTGGAGCTTCCCCACCTCATGCGAGAGGCACCTCAGCCGACGATCCAGCTCACCGCTGCCCAGCTGCTGCTCGACCCTGAATGCCACACACACACAGACGGAGTCACACGCATGGCGGTGTGGGAATCCCCGCTGTCTCTGTGCTCACTCTGAGATGCGCTGCGTGAGCATCGCCAGCTGTTCGTCAAGCCCCAAACCACCAATGTCATCATCTACACGAGCACCCGACGAGCTGCCCCCCTCCAGCGGCCCACAGAGGCCACCCGCATCAGCCGAGGAAGACCCCGATGCCGCTGCTGCCCCCTCAGTGGCGGTGTCCTGCTCCCTCTCTCTGTGTGGCACTTCCACTGCTGTCGATCCGCTGCTGAGCTGTTGGATCTTGGCGAGTGCGGCGTCGTAGATGGGCTGCAGTGCGGCTTTCTCGGCCTCGACCTCAGCGGAAAACTGCCGGATGCCCTCAACGCCGCCCGCACGAACCACCTCATCCAACTCGTCAACAGACCTAACACACATAAGACACACGACACGAGGTGCATCAAGGTCCCCGCCCTCTCTGTGTGTGCGGTTCGTCTCACTTGGGTGCGTTGCGCATTGCGGTTTCCTTGTCGCGTATCAGTTTGGCTTTGCGCTGCTCGAACGAGGCGATGGCCGCCAACTTGCCGTCCAACTCACAACGCAGCCTGCACACCCATGCCAAGACACACACGTGGTTCTGCAGTGAGAGTGCCGCCCATTCATCGCCTTTCCGGCTCACTCCTGCAGTCTGTCGACGGCCTGCTGCTTCTGCTCTAAGGCCATGGCGCGTGCGGGATCGACGCTGTGGGCGTCATCGGCAGCCGCGGCCTCTGCTCTCCTTTGCTGCTCCGGCGGGTCGTGGCTGTGATGGCCGTCACCCCGCCCCGTGTCCCACTCAGACCAAGCAGCCTCCATGCCCCTCACCCACTCAGGGTCATCAGAAGGACTGCTGGGCGGTGATGACAATGTCACGGCGGTGGTGCCGCTGCTCAACTCGCCCGCAAAATCCGCGCCTTCGTGACCCCCAACACGAAAGCATCCATCAGCAGCAGCCGGTGCTGCGCCTCTGCTCTCTGTCGATGACGACGAGTGCTGCTTGAGGGGTGGGGTCACCAGAGGGGGGGCGCCGGGGCGAAAGGGGCGACGCTGCGGGCGATGGGCCATCCCACCAGTCACAGCATAGCCACGTGTGCCGCCAGAGATGCTGCCGGCGGTGCTTGGCAGCGGCTGTGGGGGCGCCGTCTCCCCAGATGGACTCGCAGACACAGAGGTGCTCGCTTGTCCAGCCAGCTGTTGTGAAGCTGACCCATCGGCCGCCGAGCCCGACCCGGCCCTTCTGCCCTTTTTCTTTCGGTGTCGCGCTGCGGTCTGAGTCCACTGGCCGCCACTATCTGCCATCGCCTCCACCTGATGCTCTTGCTGCTGCTGATCAGCTGATCCACCCCCAGACACGGAGGCTGGCTGAAAGCCACCGCTGCTTGCTGCCGCAGTGGGTGTCAGGCAGCCACTGTGGCTGCTAGTGGACGTGGTGGTGGCAGACGCGATCCCACTGTCATGGGCAGCAGCAGCGAAGAATGGCTGAGCCGTCGGCCGACGGGCGGCAGAAGCAGCATTGGGCTGCCTGGCATGACCTCTGCGGCCCCTCCCCTGCCCTCTGCTCCTCTTTGCTTCCTCCTCAGCTATCAGCCGTGCCGCTGCGTCCTCGGCCAGACGCTGCTGCCGACGCTGTTGCCCCGGACGGACAACAAAGCGCCACAGTGCTGACAGGCCGAGCAGGACAGCGAAGAGGGCAACAGCGGCCGAGAGTGCCCAAGGAGAGGACACCTGCCAAGGAGAGAGAGAAACAGTACTTTCAGGTGCTCTTTGTCCTCTTGTGTCGCACCAGATCATCGCGTCTTGGCAGCCGATACAGTCCAGTGACCTCATACATGCGCACCCAACTCGCGATGGCCTTGGCTTTTCTGGCACCATCCCCGGAGCCGCTGGCGCGCTTCTCGATGGCACGCTTGCAGCTGCTCTGAAGCCACAAAACAAGCGATGAGCTCGGTCACGCGTCATGCGAAGCGTTCCAGACCCTGCCCATGATGATCTTGGCGACTCGCCTCCTGAATGCCTCACTTGCCCTGATGGATTGCAAACATGACACCGTGATCGTGACCATTACAAAGGCTTCATGCGTAACGTACCCGCCTGATAGCAACTTCAATTCAAGCAGTGCTTCCGCTTCTAAGGACATCACAAGGGTGGAGTACGCCGCCGTTTTCCTGACCGTTTTGTGCTCGACCACATCGCATGCTGCGTCGAAACACCCGTGCTCGACTGCATAGCGAACCTGCACAACACAGACAGGCAGACAGACAGACACACACACACACAGACGGACAGACAGACAGACAGAGAGATAAACATAGAGATACCGACGCTCACCGCCATTTCGTTGTCCAGTTTTCGTCCGAAACTCAGCGCAAGGCTACACGACAATAGCAAGGTGGCCATTGTTGTTGACATATCACCGCTAGTGGACACATTATTTGTCCCGCTTTGGCTTTGGTAAACCGTCCTCAAATTCGGAACGACGTCACGATCCATGATCTGTCTCATACTGATGGCAATCGTCTCGGGAATTTCGCCTGATGCACACAAACAGGCAAGTGACAGACAAGTGAGGTGCCTTTGTGCAGCTGCATCCGACTCACGTGCTATCTGATGTAGGGCGAGCAGGGCGACATACATGGCATCACTGCTTGCAGGGCCGTATGGCGACAAAAGCAAGCGCGATAGCTTTGACACCGCCTGCTGCTCGAATAGAACAGCGGCCACTACCCGATGAATTTCCCCCACGGACCCTTCAGATGCAGCAATGGGAATCCCGGCCAGCATGGAGGTCGCCGCTCTAAAGACGCTATCGTCGTGACGGTCCAGCAGCTGCACGAAAGTTGCCAGCACAGCTTCGTCAACCCGATCACCTACTCTTACGATATGCACTGGCAGGTCGACCGCTTCCCGTTCCACGTTCGCTGTCAAGTTTGGCGTCTGTAGCAGACGAGTAAGATCTCCACCGTATTGTGGAGCCTCCTCCTCCGGCTGTGTGCTGTCTGCAATGTTCTCTCTGATGGCCCGCAACATACTGAGCGCCCCCTCAGAGGACATGGTCACCTCCAGCACACGGGCCGGCTCGTCGGCGCCATCCTCCTCCTCATCAATGAATCCATCGTCCGCTTCGTCAAAGTCAGCCGCAGGAAATGAGCCGCTCGGGGTGGCGGTAAGGGCCAGCGCAAAGAGCACGGCCGACAGCATCAAGAGACCCGATCACAACACACGGGATCAGCTGAGGGAAATCACTGTAGCCACGTTGGTCGACAAGACCATCGGATGGAAGGGAGATGGCGTCCGGCTCATGATTTGGAGCAAGATTTGGAGGAGAGCGCCAGACCGATCGCGTTGTCTGCTGCGAGCTGACGCGACTTTTTCGGTTGTTTGTGCTGCTGTTTCGCTCGGCAATGAGTCAGCTGATGGTCGCAACAGTACCCTGGTGAAGCGTCCACCCATCGACAGCGTCCTTCGATCATTGGCGTGACTGAGATGGCTGCAGCAGCGGCTGAGGGTGAGGGAGTCGGTGGAGATCTCACAGCGGCTCTGACGGCATTCGACACGCACGTTGAGGTACAGCGCAATGAAACCTCATTCACGACCATTTCATTCGAGTTGTGTTGTTTGTCTGCAGGCCAGCAAGCGTGAAGGCGCCCTCAAGATCCTGCACAAGCTGGTCAACAAGTAGGCTGCCAACCACACACACACATGCACACACACACACACACACACACACACACAGCGAGAGAGATGTGGTGGTGTGTCATCGGCCTGTCTGTCTGTCTGCCTGTCTGTCCGTTCATCAGTCTGGCGACGTGTCCATCTGAGGAGCGTAACAAATACAGAGTGGTCAAGAAGAGCAACCAAGCCATCAAGGAAAAGGTAAGCAACCCAGGCACTGACACACACGACACACACACGACACACACAGGACAGGACGCTTGTTTCTCTCTCTTGCAGCTGCTGGATGCAGGCGGCGACCACTCCACTGCCCTCCTGGCAGCATGTGGCTTCACAGAGGTATGGGAATCGAATCACAGCCAAACCGTGAGATCTGATCTGCCTCTCATGGCATGGTTGGTGTGTTGTGTTGTTCGTGTCAGAGTGGCGACATATTCAGATACCCACCGGCCAAGGATGACAAACTGCAGAGGTGCTGCTTTCCCAGACACGGACAGAAGTGCTGCTGTCTGGCTGATTGCATGTGTGTGTGTGGTTCTGCAGCACTCTGGCGGCTGTGACTGAGCACCTCAATGCGTCCGCCGCCGCTGTCCAAAAGGACCAGCGAAAGAGCCAAGCGCCGCTGCAATCGAGTGTCCGCAAGGCCGAGAAAGACCGCATCTTGGCCGAGATAGAGCGTGACAAAAAGGAGAAGCTCTCCGCCCAGCAGCAAGCCCAGGCCGACCAGGAGCTGCCCCTGCCGCCCCCCGGCCCCGCTCCCTTCGCCGCCATCCAGGAGGCAGCAGCGTCAGCGACAGGAGGAGGAAAGACCAAACGCAAGGCCAGCACACCCGTCAAGAGAAAGACTGCCGCACCACCGGGCGATGGCGATGCTCAGCCGAAGCACAAGTCCCCCAGGAAGAGCAAGCCGAGGAAGAGGCGTGAGAGCGATGAGGATGAGGACAGCGACGAGCCTCCTGAGGGTGAGGGCGGCGAGTGGGAGGGCGAGGACGACCCCGAGGACCACATCGGCAGGAGAAGAAAGGCGCCCGAGCCGCCACGTGAGCCGGCACGAGCCAGGCACACTGATGTGTGTGCTGGCTGATGGATGTGTGGGTGTGTTTGTGTTCAGCGTCTTCTGGTCGAAATGCGTCTGTGTATGGCCGTGAGGGCGACTCAGCCGAGGCCATCGGCACGGCCATCCTTCAGTTCGACCCTGAACGAGGTCTCACGGGCCTCTATGGACAGCACGTGGCGGCAAGGGAGCATAGAGTGACTGCGGTGAGAGAGACGACACACAGATAGGACATCCATGCTCTCACCTGTGTGTGTCTGTCTCTGTGTGTGTGGTGTGTGCAGGCCAAGAACGGTTGGGTGACTGTGACGCATCGGCACGTGTCGTCATCGGGCAAGCGGAAGGTCAACGTCACCTTCGGCATATCCAACGCCAAGAAGGTACTCGCAACACACAAAACACCAATTGCAACACACACATCAGGTGCCATCATCCGCAGCCACTGATTGGAAATCGGTCAGGATCGCAATCGTTATGAGGAGGAGGTGCCCTTCTACCCCATTGAGCTCATCGAAGACGTCTTCACACACATCATCACCAAGTACAGAAAACACCTGCACTCACTCACCGAGGCATACACACAGCGGCGTGCATCCGTGTGTGTGTGTGTGTGTGTCTGCAGGTCGACCACGTCGCGCAGGAGGGGCGGCTCTGCGGTCAGTAAGGCCGCAACCGCCCCTCAATTCATCCATACGTCTCAGCCATGAGTATCTGTCTGTCTGTTTGTCTGTCTGTTTTGTCTGCAGGGCACTCTGCTGCTGTCTCTCGAGTCGCTGGCTGAACGGAGTCCTCCCGTATTCTGGTCCATGTAAGCTGACATACATCGACCCATCGTCGAGCGACTCACCGTGTGTCTGTCGGCGTGTGTGTGTGTGTGTGTATGTGTTGTCCATGGCATGTCAGTTACGCTGCGTACGGTAAGGATGCCTACCAGGATGGGCTGCAGGAAATCGTCGCCGCGGCGCAACACAAGGCACAGCAGGAGCAGCAGCAATCGTGATGGATGGAGAGATCGATGGATGGATGGATATGCATGTGTTGGCCTTTCATTACTTCACGGGCGTGTGGTTTTTCCGTCGACTTGATTGATTGATCATGGACATGACATCGATTGCTCGAGAGGGACACGCAGGCATTGATTGAAAGCCCACTTCGGGGTCTGGCTATACCACGTCCGTGCGTATTGCGGTCATGCCATCCATGCCGCAGTACTTCATGCATACACACGACACGCCACACCGCTCAGCCAACCAACCAGTCAGCCACTCAGTTAGTCTCGCCTGCAGTGCAGGCGGCCAGGGCCACCTCTCTCTCTCTCTCTCTCTCTGCCCCTCTGTGTGTGTGAGTGGACGACCTATTCAATTCGATCAGAGCTTACGAAAAAGAACCCCCCCCGCACACCCCATCCAACCATACTCACGCCACGCCACAACACACCACTCAGCCAGCCACCCAGACAACCAAACTCGCCCGGAGCACCTGATCTCCTCTCTTCCCTTCTGATTGTGGAGATCCACAATCCACTGACTGCATGCGAGAGGGGCTAGTGAGAGCCATAGAGTGGTGTGTGTGAGCCAACCTCGTGTGGTGTCGTCTCATGTCGGTGCCCTCCCCCCCCCTCCCTCTGCCCCTCTGTGCGTGTGTCGTCGACCTATTCGATCAGAGGGCCTACGAAAAAGAACCCCGGCACGCCCCATGCATCTGACCATACATACGACACGCCACAACAACAACACACCACTCAGCCAGCCAGCCAGCCCGTCAGCCATTGACTCTCTCCTGCAGTGCAGGCGGCACAGGGCCAGCTCTCCCTCTCTCTCCCCTCCCGTATTCACACAAAACAGACATGCACGGTGCATGTCACGTACCCAGCCAGCCACAGACAGTTCGCTTCGCGAGATAGATAGACAAGGACAGGCCAGCCGGACAGGCAGCGCCAGGCCAAGGAGGTGCGGACAAACGGAAAAACCCAGCGCACACACCAGACAAACAGGTAGACCCTTTCCTGCCTGACTCCCACCCTCCCTCCCTCCCCTGTCGTGAGTGCACACGATTTATTGATTATCCCTGTCTTATGATTATCCCTGTCTAAGCTAACCGACATCGTCCCACACGGTCCACTCTCCCGCAGCCTCTTCTCCCTCTCCCGCACCCGCGCTGTCCCCCTCCCTCTCTTCTCCCCCCCCTCCCTCCGTCTGTGTGTGTGGTCGGCCTATCCTATTCGATCAGAGGGCCTACGAAAAAGAACCCCTGCACGCCCCATGCATCTGATCACACACATGACACGACACAACACTCAGCCAGCCAGCCCGTCATTCACTCTTTCCTGCAGTGCAGGCGGCCAGGGCCGGCTCTCTCCCTCCCTCCCTCCCTCTCTCTCTCCCCCCCCCTCCCGTATTCACACAACGGCACAGCCAATCACAGACAGTTCGCTTCGCGAGATAGATAGACAAGGACAGGCCAGCCGGACAGGGAGCGACAGGCAATGAGGTGCGGACAAACGGAAAAACCCCAGCAGACCAACCAGACGAACAGGTAGACCCTTTCCTGACTCCCTCCCTTGTCGTGAGTGCACACGATTGATTACCCCTGTCTAAGCTAACGGTCATCGTCCCACACGGTCCACTCTCCCGCAGCCTCCCCTTCCTCTCCCTCCCCCTCCCCCGCACCAGCAGAGCCGCTCGAAGCCGCAGCAGCCGCCGCAGCCGGGGCAGCCGCACCACTGCCGCCCTTCCCCGCCGTCGGCTCGTCGCTCTCCACACTCGTGCGGCCGTAGATCACCGACCCCGCACGCTTCTGGAACGACTCGCTGGTGCCCATGGAGCGGAACCCCACGATGTGCGGGAAGTACACGCCAGCCATGACCGATGCCGCCTTGGCCGCGCTGTCTGCGACGGAGGGCGTCTCCTCCACGGGGTGGTCGGCCTCGGAGAGGGCGTGGTGGACCGTCGGCTGCTGTGCTGCTTGATCGGTGTCTGCCGTGTGAGTGGGAAGTTCGGCGGCTGCTGCAGCGGGCTCAGGCTCGACGGCAGTGGTGGTGGGTGGAAGCGTGGCGGGCTGGCTGGCTGGCGCCGAGGTGAGCATGGGGCCCTCCATGGCTGCGGGCTGCCCTCCAGTCTGCTGGCCCGCCGTGCCGTTGGTACAGATGGCGTTGGCAACCTCGTTCATCACTGCGTCATACCTGGACAAAGAGACAGACAGACAAACAGATGAACAATGGTACACATCAGAACTTGGTCGATCGGTCGCCTCACGTACCAGACGCCCAGCTCGGCCGAACTGTGGCATTCGAACGCCGCCTTCGCGCCAGTGGCCGCGTCGAACCCGTCAATGATCCTATAGATCGATGACACACGCCACACAGCACATGCCACACAGCACATGTGGAGAGAAATGAAACAATGCACCCATCCCCTTCCTCTTCCCCACCTCCCCTTGCTCACGTCTCGTGGCTGCACTTGTGGAAATCGATGGTGTGTCCAAGCCCCGTATTGTCGTGCCACACCACCAACGCGTTCGTCAAGTTCTTGAACCTCGGGCGGACGGCGACACGGATCGTCGGGTACACGAGGTCGATCGTGGTGGCCTTCCCGCACGGCACGCAGCCGCAGCATTGTTCCCAAAACTGCAGCTTCCCCTCACCCAGCTCGACCATGTGCCAAATCGGGCGAGAAGGCCAATACCACCTGGTCTCCCGCTTACGCATCGGTCCCCTCTTGTTCACGCGGCGGATCGGCGGCATGGCTTCGAAGCGCGAGTGGCGGGAGAAAGAGAGGCAGGGAGCCTAGAAGGGCTGGAGGAATCCTGAGGAGGGCACGGGGAGGACGGCGGGAGGGACGAGAGGGAGGGGGAGGACGGTGGTGCCACGAGCAGCAGGGAAGGAAGGGGCCAGAGGGCGCGCAAGCAGAGAGCCTTAGAAGAGGGGCAGGGAGGCGGCCGGGGGGCGTCCCAGTGGCGAGAGTGTGTGGCGGGAGTGTGCTGAAACCCTCGAGTTGCGTTGGGCCGGAAGAGCGCTGGCTGGTGGGAGACGGAGCCGAGAAGGGAAGGCCGGGGAAGGGAAGGCCAGGGAAGGCAGGGAAGCAGGAAGAGGGGCCGCGGCAAGGAAGAGGGTGGTGTGGGAGTGACGCCAAGCGACGACGAGATGGTGTGGCGGGAGAGGGGAAGACGTCTGCCTCACTCTACAAGCCGGACGGAAGGCCGGACGCGGGGTTGGTCACCGTGGCTCTGTGAGGGCGCGGGGGAGTGAGGAGAGAAGAGGGGGAAGAGGTCTGCCTCACTGTTCAAGCCGGACGGAGGGCTCGGCGTGGCTCTGCCGAGGGACCACTAAGGGACCGTGAGGGGGGGAGGGAGGCAGAGAGCGAGGGGATGACCGAGATTCGCCCCGGCGTGTGGGCCGAGCGCTGGATGGAGGTGGAAGTGACGGGGAGGCCGAGCAAGAGGCCGAGTGAGGCTGCGGAAAGGCAGGGATCTGTGGGAGGAGGGAGAGGTCGAAGACGTCCGCCTTCCCTCGCCGTATGTCTTCAAGCTCGCATTCATCGGTCCTGGGGAGATGAAAGGAAGGATGAGGAGAGCTTCTCCAGTGCGCCTGTCCGTCAATGGGTCCATCAAGCACCGAAATCCATCGCTTTCTGGACGGCATCTATCAACCTCAGCATCAGCAGCAGCGGAGCCACAAGCAGAGAGTCTCCTGCCCGTCCCGGCATCTCAGCAGGCTCCAGCTCATCAGCCAAGCAGTGACACAGCTCTGCATCAAGATCATCAGCCGACGCCGGTGTCATCGACTGTCCCGCTGCCTTCTCTGCATGCCCCGTGGCCCGTCCCCTCGCGCAAATCAGTCCAGCTCCGACACAGCATATCCAGGTGGAAGCTCACGGACCTATCCACCGCCCTCCAAGCATCAGAGGCAGACAATGGCGGTTCTGGGGATGACTCGTTGACTGCGTTCTACCCGCCCCCTGTGTCGCTGCGTCGGCAGCCAGTGTGGATGCGGGGGGAGAGGCCGCCTCACCCGCTGCCCATGACCGAGCCTGGGCCACCGATGAGTAGGCGGACGATGAATGCAAAAGATAATGGATGGATAGTCGTGTGTGGTGTCTTTTTGTGCAGGGTTACGTGGCCGCGTGTGGCCACAGGTGTCGAAGACGCGGCTTGACCGGGCCAACCACTTTGTGCTCAACAAGGCTGTCAATGAGGCACTCAGACTGCAGGTGAGTGAGGAAGAATCGCACATATAGATTCTCATTGACAATCAGTTGATTTTCAGTTGCGTCATCCCCATCTTTGGTCGATCTTGAGTCGTCGCGCCTTTGAGCTTCGCGACCGCCTCGATGGAGTCGACATTTATGTCTTCGCCGTGGCCATTGCCAAACTCAATAGTCAGCCCCCACACACACAGACACAAACAGCCGTCCCTTCACGCACTACGTTTCGTTCCTTGCATGCTGCAGTTAGTGACGTGCCTTTGATGGAGATGCTCTCTGAGGAGGCCATCAAGCGCCACCATCTCGCCCTCGCCACACCACCCCCAGCCCCACCAAACAACCAGCAAGCAGCAGCGTCTGAGTTGGTTCCGTCCTTCTGCCTGGATGAGGCCACAGAGGCAGAGGGCGAGAGCGATGCCGATGGCCTGAATGACGACGCTCATGAGAGTTACGAGGGGCTTGTGAGGAGGAGAATGGAGCGGATCAACAGGCCCGCCAAACCCATAGAATTCAGACAGCTAGCAGGTGGGTGGGTGGGGTGGAACAATTGCACTGAATGCCCGTGGATCCCTTCTCTGTTATTGCAGGTGTTGCTGGTGCGTGGGCTCGTGTGTCGTATGTGAATGTGCCTCTGCTGGAGGCAGTGGCCGAGGGCCTTCCTGACCACATCCATCAACTGAATGGACAGGACATCGGCCTCATCTGGTGAGTGAAACGTGGCAACACGGAAAGGCGCAGGTCCATGCGTTTCTTCACTGCTGGCTGTGCTCTGTGTGTGTCTACGGCAGTGAGGCCTTCACAGCTGCGCAGCTGAGATCTACTGTACTGCTCAAAATGATCGCTGGGTACTGACACGATGAGCAGAGACACAGACACGCAGACACTGATGCTATCTTTCCCTCTCTTTCCAGTTTGTTGACCGACTCGTCAAGTCCGGTCCCCTTTAGCGCCACCAACCTCGCGTCGGTGGCCAAGTGCTTCGCGGCGCTCTCATACCGCTCGCGAGAGGCGTGGCGTGCCCTGACGCGGCAGACTGTAATGCAGGTGGGTGAGTTCCCGCCCAGACGGCTGGCGGTCGTCCTCAAGGCCTTCGCACAGGCAGCTGTGAGGGAACCGAGAGTCTTCAGGTGAGACAACGGGGGGAAGAAGCAGGAAGCTTATGTGTGTTCTTTTTGTGTCTGAGCTCAGAGTGGCTGGCGAGTATCTTTTGAGTCACGTGGAGCACTTGGGTGGCGGCGACATCGCCACTGTGTTGTACGCTTACGCATTTCTGGAGCTTAGACACAATCGGCTTTTCGACGAGATGAGCAAATGTGAGGGACGGGGGGGCGCGATTTCTCTCTTCTCGTGACGCCTTGTGTATCTGTGTCTGTGTGCGTGTGCGTGTTGTCGGCCCCTTCAGTGTTGCCTCGTCGCGTGTCTGAGATGGCGTGTTCTGACATGCTCAACGCCCTCTTATCTTTCAGCCTCCTGGACTATCGGCCGCCGCTGGCACTCAACGTTCTCCTCGCACACATCCACAAACACATCAGGTCACTTCACCGACAAATGAGGGGTTCAGGCATGCAAAAAATGGCTGGGCCCCTTCAGGTGTTTCTCAGGCGAGGAGATCTGCATAGCGCTGTCGCTGCTGAGGCGCCTGCGGATCAAGCACGAGCCACTCCTGGCCTCTCTTGGTCGGCTGGTCGAGGGCCGTGTTGTGGGTCGGGTTGCTGCGCCGCAGTCCGCCATGAGTGTGGCCTATCAGCTCAACGCGCTCGCAGAGGCGGGCCTCGACGATACACAGCTCTTTAAGGTAGACACACTGATGCAAAAGGGCAAAAGAACGTTGATGATCCGTGTGTGTGTCGGCAGGCGACAAGCAATGCCCTTGCCCCCCTCCTCACGCAAGACTCGACACATGTGCGTCCCCACCGCCAGCTCCCTCTCGCCAAACAGCCATCTCCCTTCAACTCGCACCACGGTGTCACGCTGATCCTCACCGCATTGGCGGAAGCCAAATGTGAGAATGCCTTCGAGTTCGTCAAGGCTGCGGTAGAATGGTGGCATGTGAGGCTCTTGCGAGGAGAGGTGGTAGCGAGCTGGCTGGGGGACTTGGAACGGTCGGTGGCTGCGCTGGCTGCTCTGAAATGGCGGGATGAAACATTCGTCAGGTACAAACGAAGTGACGTGAAGGCAAAAGAAGCTATGACACTCGCTATTTGCTGTTACGCTGTTCACAGGACGGCGTCCGCGACCTTGCTGAGACACTATGCGCAGCAAGCATCTGTCCTCATTGACCAGCAAGAAGGTGCCCCGACCGACACATCATCTTCGCAAGTGCCAATCGGCGACGGTCCGTCATCACTCTTACCTGAGGTCGGCCACTTCGAGTCTGTCAACGCTGTGCCTGATCCAACAAGCGACATACACAGGCAGCTGGGTCTGTATGGAGCTTCGGTGGGTGACGAGACTCTCAGGCCGCACGGTGACAGGCAGCTCTCGTGGCTGAGGAGGGTGATGCATCTGATGGAAGCGCTTTTCGTTTTGGACGTTGTCCCTTCTGCTGATGAGCGTGCTCTGTGGGCGCAAGTGCTGAGCTATGCAGATGGGGTAGTGCGTGGGATCAGCACAGAGGGTATTGATGGAGATGCGTTGGCGCGGTGGGCTGTGGCGGTGTGGTGGTGGGTGGAGACTGCCGATTTGTTGGCTGCCTGCCTGTTGGGCCCCTTAGCTGATCAACTCAAAACGCAGGTGGAACAATGACGAAGCCAGCAAAGAACCGAGTATGGCAACATACCTCTGTTTCTTCAGACCGATAAAGAGTTGTCTTCTTTCGAGCACTTTGCCAACAGCTTGTGCAGTGACGGAAAGGACGCGCCGATCAGCGACGTCACGCGTGCTGTCAAACACGTGCTCAAGGTCAGACGAAGACAAAGGCGAGAGCAAGACGCTCATTGGACTGTCGTGGCGGATCAAACTGACAGGTGTGCAGTCAGTGAATGCTGCACAGACATAAACCACGCATATTCTCCCTACTTGTCTTCCAGGTCTCGCAATTCACCGTCTTCTATTGTGCTGTGGCCATCACGCACTCCGACGTGGTCACCACTGGCTGCAGCGCAATCGCAGCCGCCGTCACAGACGTTGCACGTTGACAGAGAAGCCGTGTTTGCGAGGGTGACGCAGATCAGTGCAGAGGAGGGCAATCGGAATGAGACAGACACGCCGGTGTCGGGCCAGTTTGGCCATCTTCGCATTGCCCGACACAGGCGCAGACAGATGGAGGGCTGGCTGGGTGGCTAAAAGGAAGAACTTCTCGACGAGAGGAGACGACATTTTCAACGCTGCAATTTGTGTGTATGTATGTGACTGCCCCACCACGGACCCGCCGAAAGTGAAGAGGATTTAATGCAATGACTCCGTCTGCGGCAGCAGCTATGCTCTCTGCCTCTGCCTTCGTTCTCTGTCTGTTGCTGTCCGGCGAAATGCGCTCGCGGCGAGTTTTTCGCGATGAGACGGCGAGAAACCCGCAAACCCTGATTCTACGGATTTTGAAAGTTTCTTCGCAGTTTCCTGCCGCGTTTGGTTTTCCAGCCTTGTTTCAGCCACAGATCTTCCGTTTCTTGTCCTTTTGGGCTGATTTTCGGCTGATGTTGTCCGCCTCGCCTCGTTCCCACCCCTCCCACCTCGTCCGACTGCATCGGCCACTTTTTTCCTCAACCGCCGTGCCCCAGCAAGGCGCCTCGCCTGGTGGTGCCCTGCCTTGTGTGGAACGGCTGGCGACCGCCTGGCATCAGCGGAGTGGGCGCGCCTTTGTTCTCTCGTCGAGAAGGCCTCGATCAGGTTGGCACATGTGTCTCATATCTGCTGGCTGTGGTGATGGTGTGATGTATGGATAATGTGCAGGGATAAATGCACGCTATGTGCCGTCAATGTGCTCATGTGCCTCTTCTGCTCAGTGTCCAGGTGGAACGATGATTTCTTCTTTTTGTTCCCGTCTCTTCTTCTCGATAGATTTCTGGGAAGGTGTGTGAGTGCCTCACTGAGTCTGGTGTTCACTGCACACGTCAATGCCCTCATTTGCTGCCTTCCAGACATGGGAGTCCCTGGTCAGGCGAAGGAAAGGAGAAACAGACTAATCTAGTGGATTGATCAAGTAAGTCATCGTTGTGTCTTGCAGCTTATCAAAGAGAAGACACGCTCATGGTACTTACGTGCTTTCTTTCAGCAGACGACGTCGTCATTCGCTTCCCTCGCGTCGCCGCGGCTGAAGGCTTTTCAATTTGTGACGAACTTTTGACATCTCTCTTCTTTGTCTTTCTTGGTTTTCAGCTTCTGGAGCGGTGTCGGCCTTCCCTTCCCGGCGGCCGCACAGGTACGTAAGCGAGCTTGAACAAACAGGGACAACGCACAGATTTGCTCATGAGTCATGCCTCCTCCGTGTCTTCTTTGCTTGTCTATGCATACTTGGGCGCTTCGGCGGCAGTCATTCCGAGTTTGAAGGTGAGAAGAGTGTTCTATGTAGTGTGCTGTGTGGGTGTGGGTGTCAGGCTCAGATGCGTGTGAGATATTGAACAGCAAAGCGCTGGACTTGCCTACGTGCAGGTGTCCAAGCACGATGCCCTCGTCCACGAGAATCCGCAGTAGCAACTCCGCGGTCGGCTCGCCGCCCACCGCCAGCAGCCACCAACACACATGTGAGAGGGGGGCGCACACACACACACACACACACACACACATCCCATCCCTTCGCCTTTTCTCGCCCGTTCGCATCCACCGCAGCAGCACTTCTTCTTCCATCGAGGACGCCGTCCATCTTCGTGAGCTTGAAGGCAATCTGGAAGGTGGGCGGCAGAGAGACGTGCCCGCCCTGGTCTACGCTCCCAGCCTCCTCGACCCCGCTCGGTCCTCGCTCCTCTCGTCGCTACCGCCTCCCCCCAGCTCTCCTCCCGGCTCTCTGCCCGCCTCGCGTCATCGGGGTCCCTTCAGCTCCATCCCTCCGTCGCTCCCGCCCTCCTCCCTCCCCTTTGGGCAGGCGTGGCATTCTCCGTGATCCCCACGTGCCTCGAGGGTTTCAACATCCCTCCCGCCGCCACTCCCACCACCACCCTCTTCCCTTCCTCTTCCCTTCCTCTTCCCTGCCTCCCGCGGCCCGGCCCCTCCCCGTGCCCCTCCCTTTGCGCCCTCCCTTTGCTCCCTCAAGCCAGCTCACCAACGGCCAAGCAGCAGCTTGCCCTTCGGCCCAAGGACGCAGCTCAAGGGTTTGTTTCAGCTCCCTGCCGCCACTCCCCCTCTCTCTCGTCGCTCCCCGTCACTCCGTTCAGCCCTCTTTCTTCTTGCATCCCTGCCTCCCCCGCGCCACCGTCCGCCCGTCAGCCGTCTCGCCACCACTCCCGCGCAGCAGACAGACCATGCCGCCCATCCGCCGCGTTAACAAGGGGGGGTCGCTCCGGAAGCGAGAGACGAGGCGGTATTGGGACTCGCGCCCCATCTGGCATCACGTCGCGGCAGGAGAGGGCAAGGTCCAGTTCTGGGAAGAATGCTGCGGGTGCGTGCCGTGCGGTAAGGCGACGACGATAGAGCTCACCTACCCCACCATTCGCATCGCCTGCCGCCCGCGTTACAAGAACCTCACAAACGCCCTCGTGATCTGGCACGACAACACCGGGCTCGGGCACACTGTCGACTTCAACAAGTGCAGCCACGAAACGTGAGCACGGGGAGGTGCGGGAGGGAGGAGAGGATGAGTGCCTCTCCATGTGTACTGATATGTGTTGTGTGCTGTGTGTGTCATCAATTGATCAGGCCACCACCATCCAGCTGGAGTACCCCACCACCCGCTTCAAGAACCTCACCAACGCCCTCGTCATCTGGCACGACAATACTGGGCTCGGACACACCGTCGACTTCAACAAATGCACACATGAGACGTGAGCAAGGGGAGGTGGGGGAAGGGGATGGGTGCATCGTTTCATTTCTCTCTGTGTGTGGTATGTCATCGATTGGTCAGGATCATAGACGGGTTCGACGCCGCCACTGGCCCGAAGGCGGCGTTCGAGTGCAAGAACATGGCAGAGCTCGGCGAGTGGTGAGCCAACGAATCGCCAATATTCTGATATGTACCCTTGTTCATCTGTCTGTCTGTCTGGCTGGCTGATCTGTTGGGTTATCAAGGTACGCTCTTCGGGCGCTGGAGCGCATTGACATGGCGTCTCAGCTGGCCGGATACCAGCACATAAGCGCGAGCATCGCTGCTTACATTTTATATCTTGGTGTTTCGTTGACGACGCGGCCACGGGGCCTAAGGCCGCGTTTGAGTGCAAGACTTCGTCCGAGCTCGGCGAGTGGTGAGCCAACGAATCGACAATATCCTGATATGTACCTTTGTTCATCTCATCTGTCTGTCTGTCTGTCTGTCTCTTTGTCTGTCTGGCGGTTTGTCAAGGTACGATGCGGTGATGAACGAGGTTGCCGACGCTATCTCCAACGGCGGTTGTCCTGGGGAAGGGGAAGCTGCAGTATTGGGAGCAGTGCTGTGGGTGCATCGGGTGCGGCAAGGCGACCACCATCGAGCTCAACACCCCACCATCTGCATCGCCATTCGCCCCCGATTCAAGAACGTGGTCAACGCCCTCGTCGTGTGGCACGACAATACGGGGCTCGGGCATACGGTGGACTTCAACAAGTGCACCCACGAGGAGTAAGCACAGGGAGGCGGGGGGAAGATGATGTGTGTTGTATGTTGTGTTTCGTGTGTCGTCTGTCCATCAGCATCATTGTTGCCTTCGACGCCGCGACTGGACCAAAAGCGGCATTTCAATGCAAGGACTCCGCACAGCTCGGCGAATGGTAAGCCGACGGATCGAGAATATTCTGATCTGGCTGTCTCTTTGTCTGGCTGTGCCTGCAGCTCCCCACTCCGCATCCAGCCATGCCGCCAATCCGGCGCGTGAGCCGGAAGGGCGCGCTCAAGAAGCGAGAGACCCGCTGCTACTGGCCCGCACGGCCCATCTGGCACCAGGTCGTTGTCAGCGAGGGCAAGGTCCAGCTGTGGGAGCAGTGCTGTGGGTGTGTCCCATGCGGGAAGGCCACGACCATCCAGCTGGAGTACCCGAGCACTCGTGTCGCGATCCGCCCAAGATTCAAGAACCTCACGAACGCCCTGGTCATCTGGCATGACAACACGGGATTGGGGCATACCATGGACTTCAACAAATGCCTGCACGAGGAGTAAGCACGGAGAGGTGGGGAGAATAGGGGCGTGTGCCTCTCCATGTGTATTGATGCCTGTTGTGGTGGTGTGTGTTGTGTGTTATGCGTTGTGTGTGTTGTCCATCGATCAGCCTTATCGTTGCATTCGACGCAGCAACCGGACCCAAGGCGGCGTTTCAGTGCAGAAATTCCAGCGAGCTAGGCGAATGGTGAGCCAATGAGTGTGTACCCTTGTTCATCTCATCTGTTTGTCTGTCTGTCTGTCTGTCTGGCTGGCTGATCTGTCGGTTTATCAAGGCAGCCTCTTCCGGCGCTGCTGCACATGACATGGCGGCATTGATGGCGTCTCAGCTGGCCGGATACCAGCACATCAGCGCGAGCATCGCTGCTTCCATTTTATATCTTGGTGTTTCGTTGGTGTTTCGTTGACCGCTTTTCACGTCCGTTAATATGCTTGACCAAAGATCAAAGCGTAGGCCCTTGCTCGTTCCCGTGAGACATGATGTCAATTGTCTCGCGTCCCTCCGTGAGTGTCCCATATCAGTATGTAAGATCGCATCCTTCACACATACACACACACACGCACGAAACTCACCTCCTCAATCCATCCCATCCGTCTTCATCGAATGCACTATCACACTCGCATCATCGGCAAAAGGCTGCTCTTCATGCACGCTTCAAAGCGACACACACACACACACACACGCACGAACACACGCGCATCAGGCGCCACACACAGAGCACACACGCATTGAGGGAGATGGCTGGAGTACATGTGGTTCCGTATCGGGTCCACACACGCGCAGAGACACGAAAATCGATGGAGACACACATACACATGAACACAGATGCACATACACTACACTCACACACACGTGTACAAGAAAAGAGCGCATCAGCGCTGCATGCACGCAGAGCACGTAAAAGCCTCTCTATCGTCCACAGACCTACAAAGGAGTCCTCCTTAATAGAAAAAACGTATCGTACAGAATCAGAGAAAGAGGGCCGGGCTACACACATCACGGCCGTACATCGATCCCCCGCATGCTCCGGCTCCGACGCTTCTTGCCCTGCCTGCGGTGCAGCCGGGTCCTGCCCTGCGCTGCAGCCGGATTTACCTCCTTGAGGTAGTTTGGATGGATATTGATGCACTCACATCCATCAGCTGCGCCTCCTCAGACCTGAAACACACACACGTGGTACATACAAGCAAGGACAGCAAATTGTGTCATGTGCTATATGTAGGGACGCAACAGGAGACGACGTCCTGCTGGCTTCTTGGATGGAACGTCTTTGTGCACGGCCTCATCCCATTGCCCACCACCGGTGGATGTCTTGCCGTCAGGGGCCGGGCCGACCGAGGTGATCTGCTCCTTTAAATCACGCATGACGTCGCGCTGCACAGCCGAGGGGGCGGGAGGGGACGACAATACAAGCGACTTGTGCGCCAAAGCTGGCCCTGCGGCCGGAAGGCTGGCATGTCTGCCCGTGGGGCCAGCCCTGCAGGTGGATGTCCAGTCCTGTGAGTGCAAGGCCAGCCCTGCAGTCAGGAGGCCAGCCCTGCAGCCACAGTAAGCCACAGGGCCAGCCCTGCAGACACAGGGCTAGCCTTGCAGTGAGTCAAACCATCCAGGGCTGCATCCACATGTGAGATTAATCGTGGCTGCAGCCCGCACAACGTCGTGGGCGGTGTTCTTGTTGCTGTTGCTGCTGTTGTTGCCGTTGTGGTTATCGTTTCCTTCTTCTTCTTCTTGTTCGGATCCTCTGTCTCGTTGGTTGTCTTCATCCTGTTGATCAACTCAATGATGGTGTGGATCAGCAGCCACAACGCCAGCACTGGCCGCGAAGCCGACAAGCAGGACGGACGACAACACGTTCATACAGGGGAGACTGAGCCCCCACCCGGCCCCCAATAGCTCGCAACCGAGTCTACAAAAGCTTCAAAGTGCTTCTGTCGAGTCATTCTCAGCGTCTTTGATCACCCCACGGTGAAGTCTTTCTGTCGTCGAGGCATTTCTGATTCGAAAGCCCAACTTCAGCCCCCTCCGGCGTTCCCCCACCGAAAGCCCGAGACCAGCTTTCTCACTGCTTTCTCGTGACATCCATCGACAGGCGTATCAGCCATGGGAAACAAGTGCTCGTCCTTCAACTGCTGCTGCCCCCCGGTGGCCAAGGAGGGTGAAATTCAGATTGGCAAAGCGGAGAAGGTGCAGCCCGCCCTGGTGACGGAGCCAACGACGGCCAACAACAGTGGGGGTGTGGTGCAGGGCCGCAAGAAGTCCGTCAAAGACTCCCGCTGGATATCCGACATCAAGGCCATCGCCGAACTCGAGGAGGTCAGTCAGTCAGTCAGCCGGCTTCCCCCTCCCACCTGGATGGTCCGTGTCTCTGGTGTTCCGTGTGTGCAGGTTGACATTTTCGATTCCGAAGAGGCCCACGACATGGTTGAGAAGATCAAGAAGGTAAGTGGCACACCTGCCTCTGCCGACATGCGTGACAGTGGTGACTGCCTCGTGTGGGGTCATGGTGTAGGAGCTGGCTGAGGGCCGCACGGTCCACGTGGATTACCAGCCGCTCCCCACTGCGCGCAAGTCAATCATCAAGGTGGGCCGACCACACAGCTGTCGTGTCTCCACCCCTCTGGCACCCGTGTGTTGTGTGTTGCCTCCCCTTCCCCAGTACAAGTTCCAGAGCGGCGAGGAGGGCGAGATTGACGTGCCCCTCCAGCTCGACGAGCCAGCCCGCGAGGACGACCAGGGCGGAGAGGGAGGGGAGGTGGTGCAGCAGTGAATTCACTCACAATGAGTGAATTCGTGGTGAGAACCTGACTGACTGGTCCGTCTCGGTCAGTCGCTTGTTTCTGGGTGGCTGCTAGTCTGGCTGCCATGTCTAGTGTGATGTTGTGCCGTGCTGTGCCGTGCCGTGTCTTGTCGTTCATTCGTCTGGCTGCACTGCATGCGCTCATCTTTTTCGGCATTTCTATCTATCGGTCGGCTAGATAGGCAACAAGTCGTCAACCACAACATAGACACAACACACAGAGAGGTACAACGAGAGCAACGGCATAGTAAGGGCATAAGAGCAAGGCAGACAGAGAATAGGAAGGAATCGATCAGATCAGCGAACGAGCCAGCAACAGCAACACCACAGAGAGAGAAGACAGCACACAGGAGGATCAGGGTCAGTTTAAACAGACAAACGACAGATTTTGGCCTGTCTGTATGACGGAGTGATACGTGGATGAATGAATGCCTTGGCTGGCTATTTTTCCCCGTGTGGTCGGCTGACATGTGCGCCAATGAGTGAGTGTGTGAGACCATCCATCCATCCATCTATCCGTGCCGTGAGCGAGTGAGTGGACCAGCACCATGTCTGTGTACGTGTCCCATCCATCCGTCCATTCATACATACGATGAATGAATCGATTGGCTGCGGCTATACACACGTGGTCCTCCCACACCCGTCACGTCACCGTCACATCCACGATGGACCCGATCCATCACCCACTCCCGCTTGGGCACTAGAAACCGCCCTTTGCCGCCCTCCGTCTGTTGCCCGCTGTGGCTGCCTTCTGCGGACAGTCCTTCTGCAGGTGATAGATGGAGCCGCACAGATGGCACCCGCCGCCCCTCGGGTAGACGCCTGAATGGCACACACGGGCAGCCACGGGTGTGCGTGTGTGTGTGTGTGTGTGTGTCGTCCCCCGCCCGCCCTCCTACCTACCCATGAGGTTCTGCGAGCAAGACGACGCGAGGTGTCCTTTGCTGCCGCAGATGAAGCACTCGGCATACGGCAGGGAACCATCCTGAGTGGAGAAACACACACCAACCGGCATGGTGTTCGTACCAAGACAGGCAGATGCACCCGTGTGTGTGTGTGTGTGTGTGTGTGTGTTACCGTGGGTCTTGGTTCTGTGCACGCCTTGAGTGTGTGGTCTGTCGCCCCGCAGTTGAAGCACATCGATCCCTTTAATGACCCACCAGATGACCATGACGATGGGGTGGCCTTCTTAGCGTCAGTCGAGGCCTCGCCAGCCTTTAACAGAGGGCAGTCCTGCAGCCGATGGCCGCTCTGCCGACCTGAAGACACACAAACACATGCGCATACATACAAGGTGGGATACACGCCCGCTGGATGGATACACGACACTTACATCTGAAGCAGACCTTCTCGCCGCTTTTGCCGATGGCTCCCCTACTGTTGTCCGCCTTGCCCACCGCCCTCCCCCTCCCCTTCGCCCCACCCGCCCCTTTGCTGACCTCGAGAGTCTTCCTTCTCTCCAGCCGCTTCGTCTTCCGGAATAGGAGCTTCGCTGCCCTCTTCTCGGGGTCAGGCGAGGCCACATCGCCGCCGACAACACCATGCCCCCCTTTGGCTGTCTTCAGTTTGCCCAGCCTGACCGACGCACACAGCATGTGTGTGGGTTCAGCTGTTGGTGTGATTGATCGGTGCACCTGTGGTAGAGCCTCGTTCGCTTGCTCTTGGTCATGTCCTCTGCCTTCTCCAGCTGCTTGCGAATGGCGGCCATGCGGTCCTCGATCTCGTCGACGCCCCACACACCCACACGCGGACGAGGGCGGGGGAGATCACCACCTCCACCATCAGCGCCAGCAGCTCTACGCCTCTTCCTTAAAGGCACCCCGACCGGTGCTGCCCTCCCAGCTGGTGCATGGCCATCTCTCGCCGCCAGTGAAAGCTTCTTCCGCTTGGCTGGTGCTGGCTCGTTGTCATGAGCTTCGGGAGGCGGCGTCCTCTTCTGCTTCTTGGTCGGTGGTTCAGCAGAGTCCGTCAGCCGTTGTGGTTTGGCCTTCTTCTTGTGCGTGACTGCTTCTTCACTCATCGGTTGGCTTCCTGATCCACTCACGATGGACAAAGCAGGACGCTCCAGGTGCCAACACGCCGCTGCCTGAGGACCGATTCCTTCAGTGGCGGCGGAAGGCGCCAAAACGCGATGGAAACGCAGCGAAGGCTACAAGGGTAGATGAGTGCGGGGGATCTCTGCGAACGGAATGCGCGAGAAGCCAATTCGATCGCCGGGGACAGCGGTTTCACAGGAAGCACCCTAGCATAGTTGCGCTCCGCTCCCTTCGGTTGGAGGGAGGGTACGGGCTGCGCTGAGGGCGGAGGGGCAGATCACGTCGGTTTTGAGTTGATCTTGCTCAGCAGATCTCTTCGTCGGGGTGTGGTTGCTGTGTTGGCTCATTTCGGCTGTTGGTGAGGGTCGCATCTGTGCAAGGTGACCCAGCAGTGCAGTGGCGTGCCGCTTGTCGCCATGAATTCGGACATCAGTTTCATGAAGTCAGCTATGTGCTCCGGTGCCGCTGGCGCGTCTGCCGGTGAGTGCGAGAGGGATGAAGTGCGTCTGCTGTTCGGCTGATCTGTGCGTGCGTATGTGTGCATGTGTGCTGTGCTGTGCTGTTGATTCAGAGTTGGTGACGCTGCCGATGGACACCATCAAAGTCGCCATGCAGGTCACCTTTCAGCCACGCGATGACTGCAGTGACATCACTGCACTGCAGCAGTTTTGCCCTCGTGTGGTTTGTGTGGTGTGGTGCAGATTACCAAGGGCGAGAGTGTGGGCGTCTTCCCGACGCTCCAGAGTCTCGTCAAGCGTGAGGGTGTGTTCGCGCCGTGGAAGGGTCTGAGTGCGGGTGTGCAGCGGCAGCTGGTTTTTGCCACTTTGAGAATGAGCTTGTACGCCCCTGTAAGAGAGCAGCGCACAGCCAGCCATCTCTCTGTGAGGTCACTCGTATGTTTCTCTGCTCCCTTGTCAGATCCGTGATCTGTATTGCGGCGGCCAGTCAGGTCCGCCCACTCTGATGCAGCGCATCCTTGCCGGCCTGACGAGTGGCGCCATCGGTATGCTGGTGGCCAACCCCACTGACCTCGTCAAGATAAGGCTGCAGGCTGACGCACGGAGGCCGCCTGGCGCACCACCGAGGTGACAATGAGAGGCGACTGGTGATGGCTGGATGATGCTCGAGTGAGAGTGTGTGTTGACGTGTTCAGGTACACGGGCAGCATCGATGCGTATCGGCGGATAGTGGTCGATGAGGGCTTCTTCAAGCTATGGACGGGAGTGGTAGGCACGGATGCACCGATCCTTATCGGGCGAGAAAATGGATTGTGTGTGTTGTGTGCATATCTCGTCCACAGGGTCCAAACATCGTCCGCAACTCCATCATATGTTCGTCTGAGCTGGCTGCGTACGACACCATCAAAATCGAGCTGCTCAAGAGGAAGCTCATGAAGGTCAGACAGGGCACACAAAGAACACATTGGCCGATCTGTGTCCTCACCTTCCGTGGTGCTCCTCCACTGACATGACAGGATGGCCTCCCCCTGCACTTCACCGCTGCTCTGGTCAGCCAACCGCCGCGCCGTGCAAACAACACCACGTGTGGACGGAGTCCATCAATGTGTTGTGTGTTGTCCCATTCCCTCTCTGCTTGGCTTCTTGGCAGGGTGCTGGTTTTGTGACGACGATTGTGGGGTCGCCCGTGGATGTGCTCAAGACACGAATCATGAACGCCAAACCGGGCGACTACAAGGGTAGGCGAGCCCCCATCCATCGCAGGCGATCGAACGAGGCAGCGTCGATTGTTTTCTATCTCCGCGTAACAAGCAGGTCCGATTGACTGTGTGGTCAAGACTCTTGGTGAGGGCCCCATGGCGTTCTATCGGGGCTTCTGGGTCAACTTTGCACGGCTGGGCACATTCAACGTGGCGGTGAGGAGGACGAAGCAGCCGCATCACGGCCACCCAGGCAGTGACGTCGTTGCGTGTGTGTGCGTGTGTGTTCAGATTTTTGTGTTTTTTGAGCAGTTCGTTCGCATCGCACGGTCCTTCTGAGGGCAATGCTGTCCTCTCTGTGACTTCCTCACTGTAGATGAATCGCACTCCGGCCATCCATCCATCCATCCCTCCGTTTATAAACATGTCGTTGTTTGACATCGGAGGACGGGAGCTGCGATTGATACCGGCACGTTCGCTCGCGTGCGGGGACGTCACGGTGATGAAATAAAGCGACAAACGTCATCAGAAATAAAAACGGAAGTCCTGCCCGCCTGATGTTGGCGGCTGTGCTCGTCGTCACGCTCGCTTGCCTGCCGCCAGCCATCAGGAGTCACAACGGTGAGTTTGAGGAGCCTCTGGGTGACTTTGACAACAGGGACGATGTGGACCCCTCATTTGCTGACGAAAGTGGTGATTTTGAGAAGGCTGTGGGTGTCCTTGATGACGACATAGGCGTGGAAGAGGCAGCGCCCAGTCCCCTGGCATTGCAGCTGGAGAGCAACGACACTGCCCTGCAGATCAGCGTCTTGCGGGCCATCAGAGAGGACATTGCAGACAGCACACAGCCGGGTGATGTCGCTGCAAAAGTTGCTGTTCGGTATGGGACGGCCGTCCTTGCCGTCGCCGCCGACTGTGACCACCATTCAGTGCAAGTCGAGGCTTTGACTCTCTTGCAGCGGATAGCAGAGAGCGGCACTGAGGCTGCTGATGCCCTCGCCCGGTGAGTGCGGGGCCGAACGGCCAGATGAACAGACCCACCTGTGTGGCTGTCTGTCTGTCTGTCTATCTGTTCAGATGTGGTGCTCTTTCGTCGCTTAACGAGACCCTCAGCCGCACTTTGGAGCTGCCAGGCAGTGACATGGAGGACATTGTGGGTCCCTTGACGGCCGTCCTCGGCCACCTGCCGTGGGTGGATGACGTAGTGACCAGTGCAGCCATTGTGCCCCTGCTGCAGCTGCTGGGCAACACCCATCCGTCTGTCACGAGGGCCGCAATATCGATGCTCGGCACCATCCCAATGATGTGGTCGAGCATCGGACAGACTGGACCAGGTGAGTGTATTGTGATGCTGCCGGGCATTGCTGATGCGCTTATCGAGCATGGGGTGGTGGAAAAGCTGTCACTCTTTCTCTTGTCATGGGACGACGTGATTTGGGCCAAGGCCGCGGAGTTGCTGAGCATGTTGGTGATGGCAACCATATGTGCAGGTGAGAGTGGATAGCGAGGACAATTCCGTCGACTTACTCCTGTTTGTGTTTACATTTCCATCAGGCCCCGTGTCGCGGAGCAGAGGATCTCGTCTCACTCTTGTGAGCATAGTCGATGCTGGTCTGCTGCCGAACGCCCTCAGCGCTGTAACCCGCCGTCGGGAAGCCGAGGACAGCTCAGACTTGATCTTTTTCACGTGTTCGCTGCTGCTTCACAAAGGAGATGGATTGCAGGTGTGCTGAAGGAGGGAATCAGACAAATCAGACACCTGTTTCTGTGTGCATTTTGTTTGTGCAGCGAAGGTATGCCATCGACAACGGGTGTGTCGAGAGGGCATGTGAGTCCTTCTCGAGTCCCCATTTCGTGCCCCTCAATGGGACTCATTTCGTGCCCCTCAATGGGAAGCTTACGACGGACACGGAAATGTCAAACAAGATAACGCTCGGCAAATTGCTCAACATGGTCCTGGCCTTCGAAGAGATACTCCGGTACGCAACGAACGTCATTGGTGCATGTGTTGTTGTCATTTGTCGGTAGTCTATTGATTGGTCAGGGACAGCGTCGTCTTGGGCCAGCGAGTCGCGAACACCATCGCCAGCACGGTGGGGTGCAGGGTGCACTCACTGAGTCACTTGCGTGGCGCACATCATCTGTTTTGGTGACTGCAGGCGGGATGTCAGCAGTCGTTTGAGGGCCTCACCGGGAGCTCGGATGAAAATATCAGTGGAGCAGCCAAGGAGCTCCTTGCCAGGCTGCCCATCCACGCGACGGGCCTTCATCGGCTGCCGACAACCGGAGAAATGGTACGCAGGATCCAAGGACACCGTCAAGGCGTCCTCACTGCCTCTCTTTTCTCTCCTTCTCTTTTGCTTGCAGCTGTCCTCTCCGTGGGCGCCGTGGGTTGGAGCTGGAATCCTTGTTGCTCTCGGCCTGTCAGTACTTTGGTGCTTTGTCATCCATCCATCGCGGCAGCATCGGCAGTGGCTCCAGGACGAGCGGCGGGCCGACCAGAACATGGCCTTGCTGATTGCTCAGGAAGAAGCCAAGACGACAGCCAAGAAGTGCCGGCCGCACCGTCATCAGCCAGAGGACAACGCATTGACTGCTGATGGGGCAGGACAGCGGCCGGGGAAGAATACCAAAGACACGGTAGCTGATCAACCAACCCCGGCAGCATCAGCATCTGACGCAGCCACGGAGGAGAGTGCCGCTCCCCCTGTCACACCCAGCAGCAGCAACGACACCATCATGCCTGGCGGTGGATTTGGCATCTCAGTCGACCATCATCAGCAGCAGCGGGAGGAGGCGATGGCAGACGATGGCGGCCAGTGGACTCAGACAGCGAGACGCCGAAAGAAGAAGGGCAGAAGGGCCGGGTCGGGCTCAGCTGATGCGCCCTCGCGACAGCAGGCTGGACAAGCGATCTCCTCTGTGTTTGCGAGTCCATCTGGGGAGACGGTGTCATCACAGCCGCTGCCAAGCACCGCCGGCGGCACATCTGACGGCACACGTGGCCCTGCTGTGACTGGTGGGATGGCTTATCGCCAGCAGCATCGCCCCCCTCGCCCCGCCGCCCCCCCTCTGGTGACCCCACCCCTCAAGCAGCACTCGTCGTTGTCGACGGAGAGCGGAGGCGCAGCAACGGCTGCCGCTGATGGATGCTCTCGTGTGGGCGAGTTGAGCAGCGGCACCACCGCCGTGACCTTGTCGTCACCGCCCAGCAGTCCTTCTGATGACTCTGACTGGGTGAGGGGCATGGAGGCTGCTTGGTCTGAGTGGGGCTCGGGGCAGGGCGGTGGACATCACAGCCACGACCCGACGGAGCGGCAAAGGCGGGAAGCGGCCGCGGCTGCCGATGATGCCCACAGCGTCGATCCTGCACGCGCCATGGCCTTAGAGCAGAAGCAGCAGGCTGTCGATAGACTGCAGGAGTGAGCCGGAAAAGCGATGAATGGGCGGCACTCTCACTGCAGTCAGCACGTGTGTGTCTTGGGATGGGTGTGCAGGCTGCGTCACGAGTTGGACGGCAAGTTGGCGGCCATCGCCTCGCTGGAGCAGCGAAAGGCCAAATTGATACACGAGAAGGAAGTCGCCATGCGCAACGCACCAAAGTGAGACCAACCGCACACACACAGAGGGCGGGGACCTTGATGCACCTCGTGTCGTGTGTGTTATGTGTGTTAGGTCTGTTGACGAGTTGCATGAGGTGGTTCGTGCGGGCGGCGTTGCATCCGGCAGTTTTCCGCTGAGGCCGAGGCCGAGAAGGCCGCCCTGCAGCCCATCTACGACGCCGCACTCGCCAAGATCCAACAGCTCAGCAGCGGATCGACAGCAGTGGAAGCGCCACATGTGGCGCCACAGAGAGAGGGAGCAGGACACCGCCACTGAGGGGGCAGCAGCGGCATCAGGGTCTTCCTCGGCCGATGCGGGTGGCCCCTGTGGGCCGCCGGAGGGGGGCAGCTCGTCTGGTGCTGGTGTAGATGATGGCATTGGTGGTTTGGGGCTCGACGAACAGCTTGCGCAACTCACGCAGCGCATCTCAGAGTGAGCAAAGAGACAGCGGGGATTCCCACACCGCCATGCGTGTGACTCCGTCTGTGTGTGGCATTCAGGGTCGAGCAGCAGCTGGGCAGCGGTGAGCTGGATCGTCGGCTGAGGTGCCTCTCGCATGACGTGGGGAAGCTCCAGTCGCGTGTCGATGCCATCAAGATGGACAGTCGGGAAAGGTGCGATCACACACACACACACATCGGCTGTCTATCTGTTTGTCTGTCCACTGTCTGTCTCTCTGTGCAGGCCTTCAATGGCTTGCCTCTCGTCCATCCACACGGTGGCCGAGGCGACGGCCTTCCTCGCCCGCGTCATGGGCCGCATTCAGCAGCTCGACGGGCTCATGCTTCGGGCGCACCAAGAGGAGAATCGGCAGCTGCAGCGGCGCATCGACGACAGGGAGGAGGACGAGTTGTGTGCGGTGTGCCAGGCCGAGCAGCGGACGGTGGTGCTCATCGGCAAGGCGCCGTCCACCTGCCGCCACCGATGTTTGTATGTCACCTGCTGGCACAAGAGGTATGCGCCGTGGCGGGGCAACACGCAGTGCCCCATCTGTAGAAGCGACATCGACTACAGACAGTCGGGGCCCACTATTTAGAGTGGAAGGCGCGTGGCGGACAGACAGGTGCACGATTTTATGTCATCTCGAGAATTTGTCGTTGGCAACGAGGGGCTGCATGGGTCATGGTTGTGCATTTGCTCTCATGAAAGAGTCGCCCTGTCTGCTGAGCATCTGTTTGTCTATGTGCATACTGCCCATGTGTGCGCGTGGATCTCCCCTCTTTCCAGGTGTTGATATCCACGTACGACTGCTGCGATGTAGTGTGTGTGTCCTGCCTGGTGTGTGTGTGTCTGTGCGTGTGGCGTGGATGGCCGAGACGTAGGCAGAGAGGGATACGTGGGTGGGTTCGTGGCTTTATGGGTCGCAGGTGTTCGCACCAGGTCAGCCATCTGGTGAATTGATGGGTGGATGGCCAGAGGGGTGGGTGCATGGCTGGGGTATCGACTTTCTGGTGTTCGGTTGTCATGTCGAATTCGTTTTTGAAATAGGTCGTCCATCTATCCATCCGTCTCTCTCTCTCTCTCTCTCTATTCTTGTGCACTTCTTCCGCTGTACACTGCCTGTCTATCCCCTAATTGATTAGAGGCATGATTGAGTGTGCCTGTCTGTGTGTAGCTGTTCTGTCCCCTCCTCTCAATCATGTGCCAATGATTGGCCTACCGAAGTGTCTTGTTTCGTCGCAGATCTCATCTCATGCCATATCGCAGCTGTTTCTACCAGCCGTGTGGCTCTGTTTGTTGGTCTCATTTATCTATTTGTCCGTTCACGTGTGGCTCTCTGAGCTCTGTGGTGGGTGACGGCCCTCATGCTGCATGGAATGAATGGCCTTGTGCCCATCAATCTTCACGTCGACGCATCCACCAGTCAGTCAGTCACAAGTTTGCACGTCGACGCAGGCAAAATGGCCAGAATGCCACCAACACCGACAAAAAACAGTCAGCAGAGACTGAAGCCGACCTTCCGTGTTCTTGTCCCAGCCAACCAAGCAGCTAACCTGACTGATGTGTGTGTGTGCGTGTGTGTGTGTGCATCCCAGGTGCAGGTACTCGATGTCATGTCGAGTTTGTTTTCGCAATAGGTCATCCATCCGGTGAATTGATCATTGATGCATGCCATGCAATACTAACAATGGGTGTGCGATCAGCTATGGGACATCATGCGCAGCTGTTACGATCCACAGTGTCCATGGACGAGTTTGATGCGCATGGAAAACATCACCCCCTGAAATACATGTGTCTCGCGCAGTCATGTCTCTCTCACGGTCGGTCTGTCTATACGAGATCTACATGCGCTGCCTCTCGTTTGTGACACCGTCCACCACACACAAGTGAACAAACTCTCACACATGCATGGCACGTCCGTGAAGTTGTCACCGTTGCCAGAACGATAATCATTATGAGAGAGGAAGAGCACTGAACCCGGCCAGCGAGACAGCAGCACCAGGTGGGAAGCAGAGAAAGTGAGAACCAAGGAGGAGAGACCAAAACTCCTCTTGTCCGTCTTTTGCGCAAATTCCTCGCCCTGAAGCAAACACACACACAGCAAATGTCGTCACATATTCTTAGTTTCTCGGGGTAGCTCGTTCGTTCGTTCATTCGTTCGTTCGTTCGTTAACGGACACCGAGGTCCCGGCCCCTGAGTGCAGATGCTGTGTCCATGAAAGCGTTTGTCATATCAAGGAAACTAAGCTGATGGGTGCAAAGAATGAAACGATGGAAGTGCCTGTGGTTTGTGAACTGAATCAAATACATGATGGTTTCATTAGCTTTCATCCATGAGGAGGCAATCAAGTCTGGTAAACTAGGTATCATCACCAGGCAGAGAGCAGTAAATACTCGCTCGAGGGCACTGGAGCAATCTGAGCGTTCTGTACACCGTCGTTGCATGCACACACCACAGACAGACAGCACCTACCTATAAATACAATACAGGGAACGACATGAATGGCTTAAAAACTGCCGAAGATCAGTCACGTCACATCACATCAGATACAGCTATCAACGAACACTGATTGTTGCCACAAACCAGACTCACTCACCGAGCAGCAAATCCCCGACAACAACACATGAAGCGAGCAAGCCATCGACACCAGAAACCAACAAGCTATTTCCCCCGTCACTCATTGATCCCCTCCCTTCCTCCCTCTCCCTCGGTACGACGCGTCTTCTTCTTCTCACTAGGACTGCTTCGCATTTGGCGCCGCCCTCGTGTGTGCGCAGGCCTTGCACTGGATGTCGTGCTTGAAGGTCACGATGTACAGAAGACACATGGCCATGGCCGCCAGGGTCCACCGGAAGAGCCAGGGCGGGTGTGCCACGTACGACAGAGGAACGCAGAGGGCGGCAACCCCGACGAACCACAGCGAGTTCTCCACATACGTGAGGTGACCTTGACCGTGACTGCCGCTCGGCGAGGAGAAGTACAGGTCGCAGTAGTAGGAAAACAGGACAAAAAAGGGGAAGAGGCACCAAAACAGCAGCCCTGCAAGCCCTCTCTGAACAGCAATTTCGTCACTCTGGAATGGTGAAGCGTGTCGTTGGAGCCGCCGGAATCGCTCCAATTCTTGACCCGCCTTGCGCAGGTCCTGTGTGAGCTCATGTCGGACACTGGTCAGCTGCTGCTTCATGCTGGCCCGCTCCTGCTCCAAAGTGCTCGCCAGGCCGCCCAGGTGGTCGTCCACGCGAGTCAGCCGCTCAACGATGCCGTCCAGAGAGCCGGAGTTGATGGCCGGGCAGGCGTCTGGTGATTCCTCATCGAAGCCTTCGCGTGTTGCAATCCCCGGCGAACACATCAAGCTCATCACCAGCACCAGGGTGAGCACCATTTCACCGATTGATGTGATTGACTCTGACGAGGGCCTAGAAGCTTGTCTGTCTTGTGAGTTGTTGTGAGTGACGGCCTTGGCTTTGAGGAGTACCTGGAAAGGAAGACAAAAAGGATAAGACAGGGCTACAAGACAAGCTCGCAGATAAGAGCTCGCAAATGCGATCGCGATCGCCTTAAAAAAGCTGCGCTGTGATCTGAACGCACAAGCAAAGAAACTACTCAGGCGAGAGCCACCAAAAGCTCTTGGAAAAGAATCTTTCGACCAAATGCATTCCTCTCTGCCTGTCTGCAGATCTCCCCTCCTGCAGCTGGCTGGAAGGGCGATGATAATGACATTGGAGGAGGCGTCTGATGAGCTCATCAAGGCACGAGCCAAGACCACCAACCGCGACAGATCCCTCCTGGGCATCGTGCTGTGCCTGCTAGTGATGTGCCTGCTGGCTGGTGCACTCAACTACAGCAGTCTTCGCGCTGCCCATGAGCGCCTGGCCCGCATCAAGGAGGGGCTGGGCAAGATGAGCGACACCATCGACTTGCTGTGGAGCACAACCGAGCGAGAGCGGGCCGGCCAGGAGGAGGAGCGGCGTCTGCAGGTGGCTGTTGAGGAGATGCACATGCAGATCGACAAGGCCAGAGAGGAATACCGGGCGGACATGGCCACTGCTCGACGGGAACAAAGAATGCAGCAGCGGGCGGCTGTGGATTGGTGGGTGACATTGGTACTGAAGGGTGCGTTTTGGCTCTTCTTTGCCTGTATTGTCATAGTAGTCATTTCTACAGACCCTATAGAAATACTACTATACCGTGATAAATTCATCACGGGGGTTTTCATTGTGTCTTTTGTGTCTGCTCTGCTCTGCTTTTTGGTGTATCCTCTGTGGGCGTTCTGGGGCGTTGTAAGTGTGAGCGTGGTATGCATCGCCTACTTCTGCGCCTCTTAAGCATTGCAATTGAGTGTGTCGAGTGTGCACCAACGCATAGGGAGGGAGGGAGGGAC